GCAGATAATCGAAAACGGCCGTTATCTTTTGAGGTAGGAGACCACGTTTTTCTACGAGTTTCTCCACGGAAAGGGTTGATGAGATTTGGGAAAAGTGGCAAGTTGTCGCCACGATTCATTGGACCGTTTGAGATTTTAGACTGTGTAGGAGAGGTTGCTTACAGACTTGCTTTACCACCACAGATGGACAGAGTTCACAATGTTTTCCATGTATCGATGCTACGGAAGTACGAGCCGGATCCATCTCACATTTTGAGTTGGGTTGATGTGGACATTGATGAGGATGTTTCCTACGAGGAGGGACCAATTCAAATCATTGACACACAACAGAAGGTGCTGAGGAACAAAACGATACCCACGGTGAAAGTTCTTTGGAGACACCACAGAGTCGATGAGGCTACTTGGGAGCTTGAACAGGAGGTTCGCTCCAAGTACCCAGCGTTATTTTCTTCCTCAGGTATGTCTTGATTTCAGGGACGAAATCTTTTAAAGTTGGGGAGAATGTAATGTCTGTGTTATGCATATGCATATATGTAATTGTGTATGTGTGGAGTGAATTTAAAGGCAAAAGAAAAAGAGAAAATAAAATAAAAATTGGTGGGGCCCACAATTGTTTTAAGTGGTCATAAGACCACGTTTTTTCTTTTTTCTTGCTCTCTGCTATTTCTTCTCTCTCACAGCCTCTCTGCTTCTCTGTATTTCTTTTTTTTTCTTTTTCTTTTGCAAGCTTCCACTCTTGATTAATTCCTCAATTCTTGGTATTTTGAAGTGCCATTTGCGGCAAATTAAAGCTCACGACGAGGCCTACAAATTGATAGGAGCAATTTCTAGTTTGGTGCCTCCTAGAATTTTTGAATCTAGGGCTTTGGATTTGGGGATTTTCATAATTTTGGAGGTAGGGGTTCTAATTCACATGTTCTTGAGCCTTTTTGTTAATTACTCTACTTAATTGATGATTAGCATGCTTAAATTGTAGAAAATTTTATTTTTTTGCTTTATTATTATTATTATTATTATTATTATTATTATATATATATATATTGTGTCAAAGTTGTGACTATGTGTTGCTTGATATATATGATAATGAAGCATGTAAATTGTTAATTAATCCAAACTTATTGTGCCTTTAATGCTAGATTGGTGATTAGAAAGCATGAAAAATAATTTTAGAATTTTTTTTTATATTGTAAAGCATGTCTAAGTATAAATTTTCATGCCTATTATGATTAATTTGCTAGAAATTGCTATATGGAAGTGTGTTGATTTGTGAAATATGAAAATCTTATATTAATTTGTGATTTGTAAAAAAATCCTTCATTTGACATGGCATTGGGAAGCATGAAACATTCATGCATATCATTGGGAAGGAGTGGGAAAAATTGATTTGAAAGAAAGGAAATGGATTTTGGGAAAGAATTTTGAAAATGATTTTTGTGAAAAACCCAGCCGCCTAGGAGTTGCCTAGGGACCGCAACGTTAGTGAGGCCTAGAGGGGATTAGGGAGACCGCCCTAATGTGGTTGAGTTACCTGGGCCCCAAATGACACCATGGAGTTACCATGGGTCAGGGACAGTGGCCAATCCTCCTCTCGTGCCGCCATGGAGTTGCCATGGGACGAGTTCACTAACGGTTTGAAAATGATGATGAAAATGGTTTTGGAAAATAGGGAGTGACATTGCATGGCATGACATATCATTGCATGTCATATTCATTTGTGGTATCGGATTAATGATTTGGTGTTGTAGTTATATTTTTACTCCCAGCATTATATGATCCCAATTTCCTTATTCCTATTCATTGTGTCGATTCACGGGGTCTCAAGAGGTATGCCTTAGGAATTACCTACTGAGCAATTTTGCTCATCCCTATTATTTAATATTTTTTTCAGGGCTCGAAAAAGAAGTGGCGGATGACAATCCCCCGCAAGCTTGAAGAAGATTAGGAATTGTATTTTGTTATCTTTTGTATCTTAGCTTATTTTTTTGTATTGTCTCAAATTATGTAAAAGAGTATTTATTTTTATAAATCATGGCCTTGTAACATAACTAAGATATTTGATTTATTTTTGTTGTAAACTGAGACCATGTAAATGCGTAAGTTGAAGGGGATGACGATGATGGGCTAATTTGGAATGGTTGTTGATGTTGTGGTGTTGGGGAATTCATTATATTTCTTTTATATGGTGTGTTGGGGCAGGTTGGATAGGTCTTGAAAGGCCATTGTTTTTTTTTCTTTCATTTGAACAGGTTGTTGTAGGACCATTTTTAGCGGAGGTCAAGCCGAATTTTTTTTTAAAAAAAAAAAAATTATTATTTTCGGTATTCAGTTTAGAATCGTTACACCAACAACAAAGCAACCCCTATAGAGCATTTTCAATCACGGAACTAGGGAGATTCCACGAAGCCGCAATGGTTCTCGTAGCTCTAAAGTCACGAAACTTGCAAGACATAAGACGATTCCGAATAGAGTCATAGATCAGCTTTGTAACCGAAGCGGTGGAGGCCATTTGGTTCATGGAATTTCTTCTATTCCTCTCACTCCGGATGAAATACACAGAGGTTGTGAGGCACAGTTTGTACACATAAGCTTCTGGCGCCTTTATTCCATCCTTCCACATGGACGCACTCCAATTGGTTATATCATATAAGTTGAAGTCTCCAACATATATCCCACACAAGTGTTAGAAGAACATCCAAATTTCAGAGGCAAAACTGCACTTAAAAAAGAGATGTTGATGACTCTCGGCAGCAGCAAGGCACAATGAGCAGTAATTGGGAACAATCTTCTTTGCTAGAGCTGGGTTGTCCCTAGTTTTGAGTCTGTGACTAAGAGCAACCTGAGCAATAAAAGAGAACCTCAGAATGTGATTAGGAAACCAGATGACAGAGTGCCAGGAAATAGATGGGGAAGGTGAAATAAGAGCACGGTAAGCAGTAACAAGGTGGAAACTACCAGTAGATGAGAGAGTCCAAATAACTGAGTCATGAGAACCATTTCTCAGTACAGGAAGATGCTCTGTAGTCCCAATTGAGGGAACCAATTCTTTGAACAAGCGCGGAATTCTCCACTAATCATGTCTAATGAAGCATTGGACCTTAGCCCAATCATCCCATTGCGAGCAAGCAATGAGGTTGTGGTCAATTCTGGTATCGAGAGGCCCTGATGGAAGCCAGTAGTCATGCCAAAGAGAAACATCCTTACCATCACCTACCATGTGCTTGATGAAAGGCCTAACAAGTCCTCTAAAATGGAGAAGCATCCTCCAATTCCAAGAGCACACCTGATGAGGCTTCAAGGTTCAGAAACTGCGATCTTTGATGAGGTTCTCATGAGCCCAATCAAACCAAATGGATTGGCCTCTATCCTTGAACAGGTTCCAAATGTGCCTGAGTATAGAGATACGGTTCAGAGCAGATAATTGAGGTATGCCTATGCCTCCAAACTCTTTTGGCTTACACACATTCCACCAAGCAACTTAAGCTCCTGTAGCTTTCAAATTAACCCATGTCCAAAGAAAATTTCTTAACACAGTGTTGAGTTGGTTAATGACCATTTTAGGAATTATAAATAGGTTACACCAAAAACCAATCATGATGAGCAAGATGGACTTAATGAGCTGTAATCTCCCTACATATGAGAGGAATCTAGCTGTCCAACAAGTGATTCTAGCTGTAACTCTTTCAACAAGAGTTCTACAATCAGTTGCACTGAGTCTCTTAGAGCATAAAGGCATCCCAAGGTACCTGATAGGTAGACTTCCCAACTCAAAACCACGCATATTAACCATTTGTAGTTGAGTATCCTCAGGCACATTAGCAGTAAACAAAAAACTCTTAAAGAGGTTAGGAAAGAGTCCAGATAGCTCTGAAAATGTGGTAAGACTTGGTTATAACAGAGAGTGAGTGGACATCACCATGGCAGTAAAACATGAGGTCATCAGCAAACATGAGATGGGATAACTTGGTTTTCTTGCACTTCCAATGGTAAATGAAGTTAGGATCATTGCAAATAGCCTGTTGAGTAATAGAAGAAAGAACATCCATCACAATAACAAAGAGAAAAGGGGATAAAGGGTCCCCTTGCCTCAACCCTCTGGTTTGAAAAAACCATAGAGCTCACCATTGATAGAGACTGAAAACCCTGGACTGGTAATACAAGCCTTGATCCAATTAACAAAGATAGATGGGAAATTAAGGATCTGAAGAGTATCCAGCAAGAAGCACCAGTTAACAGTATCATAAGCTTTCTGCAGGTTAACTTTGAGAGTGCATCTAGGACTATTGGAGCTAAAGTGGTAACCCTTCATCAATTCTTGAGCCAGCAACACACTGTCCCCAAGTCTTCTATCCTTAATGAACGCAGTTTAGCATTTGTCCATAAAACAAGGAAGAACAGGTTTGAGTTTGTTAGCCAATAACTTTGAGATAACCTTGTAGATAATATTGCAACAAGCAATGGTCCTGAAGTCCTTCATACAATTAAGATTTTGCACTTTGGGAATGAGAGCCAGGTAGGTTGCATTTATCTCCTTGAGTAAGCGACCAGTAGAGAAGAAATCTTTCACAGCCTTGGTTACATCATTACCAATAACAGACCAAGCTTTTTTATAGAAACAGGCATTATATCCATCTGGCCCTGGTGATTTGTTATTCTTGAGGAAGAAAAAACACTTCATAATGTCCTCATTAGAAGGGATGGAACAAAGAGAAACAAAAAAACTTTCAAGAATAGTTTTTTGGTAAACTGATCTAAGAGTATCATTGCCAAAGTAATTACTAGTTCCCCCACCAAAAATGGTTATGTAGTAGTTGAGAGCTTCCTCCTTTATCACATGGTTGTTGCTTGTGGTAGTACCATCAGCAAGTTGGAGAGAAATAATTTTTTTCCTGTTACATCTATTGTTGAATGCTTTCATAAAGAAGCTTGTGTTGCCATCCCCTTCCTTAAGCCAATTAATTCTGGACTTCTGAATAAAGAACATTTCCTCAGCAGCTGCAAGATCATTGTAAACCTGAAGAAGCTCTCTCTTTAGTCCTCAGCTGTTCATCAGAGGGTCTAGAGTCAAGAGATTTCTGACAAAGGTTCAGATCATCCTTAGCTGCAATAACTCTTAAGGAGATCTCACTAAACTCTTTAGTATTTAAAAGCTTAAGATGCTGCTTCAAAGACTTGAGTTTCCTGGTCACTTGAAACATAGAGTTCCCATCCACCCTAACATCCCACGCATTGGTGACAGTGGACAAGAAATCCCTATGGTTCCCAAGGAAATTAAAAAACCTGAAGAGACTATTTCTTCTTGGATTAGGATTACCAACTTTAACAACCATTGGAGAGTGGTCTGAGACTCCATGGGGTAAAAATTCACACTCAGAAATAAGGAAAGTAGTAAGCCATTTGTCATTTGCCAAAACTCTATTAAGCTTTTTTGATATATTGGCTACACCTGGGCTTTTGTTAGTCCATGTAAAAAAGGTTCCACAATACCTCAGATCACAAAGTTCACAGGTGTGAATACACTTATTAAATTCATCAATAGCTAGAGTCCATCTCTGAGATCCACCAAAACACTCTGAAGGGTGCCTGATGACATTAAAATCTCCCAAAAGAAGCCATGGAGTCTGTGGGGCAGCTGCAGCAAGTCGACAGATATCTTTCCACAATCCTCTCCTGTAGTCTGCATTATTGTAAGCATAAATGATGGAAAGACTAAAATTAGTATGACCACTATCAATAGTGATAGAGTAGTGGATAGCCTGAGCACTATCACTTAATTTCTGGACTCTGATGAACCGCGGATCAAACAAAATCCATATCCTCCCAAGAGAGAAATGGCTATAGTTGTGAAGTAATTACTAAGAAGGGGCAATGTTCTTCAGCACAGAAGTTGCATTTCCTTCTTGGACTTTGTGTTCCACAATAGCAATTAACTGGAGCTTAGATTCATAAATAAGCTTCCTTATTTCTCTTTATTTTTCAAGGGAATTGAGACCCCTGATGTTCCAAGCTGCTGTACTGATCATTGGGAGAATTGGAGCACTAGGCCTGGAGAGCCTAGAATAGGCATCTGCTGGGTAATATCACCCTTCTTCTTCTTCTTCTTCTTCTTTTTCTCCATCTCAACCTCCTTGCATTTTTCGTCATCTGTAACAACCTTGTTATCCTGATTCACAGAGGTCATTGCAGTATCACCAGAAGTGTGAGATGATTTAGCCTCTTTAGTGCTGGAAGTAACATTATCACCATGAAAAGAAGTCTTTTGGTCTTGATTATAGCAACAAGGTTCACTTTCAGGCACCATTGGGAGAGTGCAACCTGTTGGGGGAGGTTCAATATCAGAATTCAATGAGGAGAATTGGTTAGCAGCCAACAAGGAAGGTGGAGGATTAACACAATCATTGAAGGGTTGCATAATCTCTGAGCAAGTTTCTTTGCTGGTGCCAGGGTCATGGAGCTCAACATTGGTAGATGGGGCAACCTTCTTGTTCTTCTGAACCATTTTCCATTCAGAGGTAGCACCACCAGGAGCACTCACAGGAAGGGTAACACTAGTAGGTAGGGGGTTAGGGTCCCTAGCAGCAACATTGGACTTACAGTTTGAAGTAGAGTGCCTGAAACACTTACAAACATCACAAAGATGAGGTATCCACTGGTACTTTGTATCAATGGTGATAAGTTTACCATCCTCAATTCTGATTTGAAAGTCTTCCACAATAGGTTTAGCAGCATTAACTTCTATACAAACCCTTGCATAGCTTATTCTTGCCATAGATTCAGTCTGTTCATCTGCAAATAAAGGCTTCCCCACAGCACTGGTGATATAATTTAGGCCCTTAGCAGTCCAGTACTTATATGGAATGTTGAAAAACTTAACCCATAAAGGTATGGTACTACTGGTTTCCTTGTTAAACTCCATGCCTTTCTCCCATTTTTTGAGAATGATTGGTCTGCCCATAATCATCCATGGCCCATTAACAAGGACATTTTTACATTCATCTTCATTTGAAAATGTAAAAACCTCTATCATCTCCACACAGCTCCTCAAAACCCATTGAACCCCAAAGTTTATGGGCTTGTTTAAGGACTAAGGAGTATGGGAGTTTTTTCGGCAAAAAATAGCCTACTAAACTGGCTTTCCATTCCTGTACTCCTTCTTCGGCTAGATTAGCAGGAAGGTCAATAACAATTGGTGATCCTGCACTGACATTAGGAGGGATAAATTCAAACTTCATCTTACAGTTGTCAACAACAGAACCATCACCTGTGGCAGCCACTTTTGACCAGCTGGTTTGGTTGTCTCGAGGATCAACACGTCCAGAAACAAGTCCAAAAATAGGTTGCTGAGTAGTGTGCAGACCATGTGGATAGCCTGTAGGAGAACCAATACTTCCATTCTGGTGAAATGGAGGAAAGTCACTTTGTGAAGGGACAGCTTGGACAGGAGCATCAAGTCCAAAGTTTGACTCTGGGGCTGCAGCATTACTCACCTTCAGAGGTAGCGCGTGGGCACTCCTTTGGTGCTAGTGTTGAGAGACAATGGTGTTAGATCTCCTTCCTCCACCTCTACCTCTTCCATTTGAACCTCTACCTCTACCCCTACTTAAGGAAGCCATGTTTGAAGGCTTACTACCATTGTCATCTGGAAGAAGTGAAGCAAGCAAAGGGTCTGTAGCCACTTCATTCACAGTGACAAGTGGTTGTTTCCCTCTTTGGGTATCAACCCTGTGGTTAAGGGCTCTCTCTAGCTCAGCAATCTTCTCTTTGACAAGAGCAATTTCAGTTCTTGCATTAACAAGTGATCTAGCAAGAGCTTGTTCTAACATTAGTTTTGCCTCAGCCACTGCTTTGGCATCCTCAGCTGCAGCATTCCATTCACCTTCCTCAGCTCCTTCATGGATGGAACTAAGAATATTCGCAAGTGATTGCTTATCAGAAGATGGGAGGAAAATGTTGGGACTATGGGAGGAAAATGTTGGGACTATTCAAGTGACAAGAAGGCTGTGATGGAGGGGGTAACCTATCCATAGAGCCAGTTAAAACAATTGATTAGGAATGGTGCTGGTGGTGGTGAAGGTGGTGGACATGGTTGAGAGGACTTTCACCCAAATTCCTTCTTTACGGATAGAAAGTTGTAAACTAGGGTACTTGAGTTAAAGAAAGCCGTTTGTATAATTTGTTGCAAGATCTGCAAAAATTTTAATAAAAAAACTGAAATACTTAAAATTCCCATGAGACATAAATAAATAAATAAATAATAAAAAAATTACAATTTTCAATTTTCAAGGGTATAGTAAGGGTTTTTTAGTTTTTTATATAATTTTGATCAAAATTGATGTGTTAACAAATATATATTAGGGAACAACTCGCGCGTATTTTAAAATCTTAAGAATTTATATGCACGTAACACAGATTCTTTTTTTGCACATTTTTTTATGAAGTGGAAGATAGCTAATGGTTTGAATGTCAATTGCAGGTGTGAGAATTGGCTTCTAGAAAATTCAATTCCTAAAATTTCTACTAGTATAAATGGGCTTTCAATTGAGTTTGTTGCTAACCTTATTAACCAAGACTTGATCGCCAGATGAGAATTGTGGATTTAAATGCATGTGTTTGGCAACATGTATATATGGATTCATCTGTTTAATTTGTGGAACATGCTAATAGGCTTAAGATTCTGAATTCATTGCTGGCGGCATGCATTTTAATGGTAGAAAATGGGACACTGACACACACACACACACAGTTTTGTTTTGAATACATTACATAAATTAAAGACCAAACATGAATGGACAAAACAAGACTACTGTGTTATTCTTCCCTAGTTTCTCCCCCACATCATCACCCATTTTTATTAAATCCTCCTGCAACATAAACCAACACAAACATAAACCCTAAACACATCAGACGTCTCATTTTCAACCACTACATGGCCATACATACATACATACATACATACATATATATATATATATATATATATATATATATATATATTGATAGATATATTACTTCCTTCAAGCTCTAAGACCTCGCAGTATCCTGAACCTTCTGGCCAGCCTCCTTAGCCCTATCTCTCATAAACCCCATTGTCTCCTTTGCGGGGCCCTTCGCTTGCCGGAAGTAGTTGACGATCCACGAGAACGACGACAGCGCGGTGACTCCAAAAGCTCCCGACGACAAGAACCCGAGGACGGCCAAGCCGATGGTGATGGCGGCGGGGACGAGGACGGGGCTGAAAATGAGGAAGAGGGGCGTGGTGAGGGCGAGGCCAATGAGGGATCCGGCGAGGGTCAGACCAGCCAGGAAGAGGAGGACCCCGCCAACGGGGAGGAGGGTGACCACTGCTATGACTTGTGAAGTGGAAGGACCACCCTTCTGTTGGAGCAAGTTCTGAGTGGGGTGGCGTTGCTGGTGCTGCGGATCAGCCATGGAGAGGGTTAGTGTGTGTATGTGTGTGTGTGTGTGTTTTAGAAGAGAGAGAGAGGGGGGGAGTTGAAGTGGTAGAGGAGGGAGAGGAGGTGTGTATTTAAGGAGAAGGATGTGTGGACGCGTGGTAAGGTGGTGACACTTGTTTGAGAGATGGGTTGCATGAGGAAACTGAGCTTCTATGGACAGATATCTGTTTGCCACTTCTTTCTTTTGCCTTCTTTTTGTTGTTTTGTGTGATGGTTTGGATCTGTCTAATACTTGTTCCCAAACATCACCAAACATCATCAATTTTACATGATTAGATATATATCATGTTATAATTACTCAATGGGTATTACAGTATAATTTTGTGCACAACTTAATCCAGACAAACACGTGTTTTCAAAGCTAATTGTTTCATCCTTGACACAATCATGGTAGGTCATTTTTTTTTTTAAGACATATCTAGAATGTAGTAATTAATATCTAGTTCTAGAATAAGATAATATACAAATATATAATTGTAGATATTTTTGTAAGAATGAAAGACTTTAGAGAAACCAAGGAGGTGAAAGTGGACTATAAATACCACAACCGTTGTCCAAGAAAGCCCAAGTTTGCTTTTGTTCCTTCAATTGCTACAGACAATTTTGAGTGAAATTGATCAAGTTGAGCAGTCACCAAACTGGAATTACCTTGTGCAGATACGGAAATTTAACCCTAACTTATATTCAGTTGGAATGAAAGAGACGATAAATATATCTGTCTTGTATGACCTAAAATAAAAAATTATGAATAACTTTTTATTGTTATATATATATATATGCAATATAAATGTGCTTTTGTCAATAATACAAACATCCTTCTTTCTATGTCTAATTTATTTTTTATATAAGTAAAATAATATTTTTAGTGTATTTTAATTTTCAAATTTAATTTTTACTTTTATTGGTATGATTAATCATATATTATATGGTTAAAGTATAATTACTAAATATTTTTAATAATGACACACATTCACGTCATTACTTTTGTTAAATTGTATTTAAAAAGTCACTAAAGTAAACCTTTTTTTAAAAAAATAAAAATTGCCTAATACCTTCTCTAAATGAGGTTGAAATATTCAACATAAAAATTAAAACCGAACCGTAAAATCAATGGAACCGAACTGAACTTTACTGTGAAAAAACGATCTGATTCGGTTCGGTTACATGGCTCTTTGCTTTTTATATTTCAAATTTAAAATATATATTATATGTAATATAATTTTTGTTATAATATATTTTTCAATTCTATATTATGATATGTAGTTGAGTAAAAGACTAATTTTATTAGGTAGTATAACATATAAATATATATATATATATAATTTATAATCGAATTAGTCTTGTAGACCAAACCATTTATAAACGATTTATAAATGATTCCATTTTTTTGAACAGAAATGGGACCGAACCGTAAAAAGGTCAAACCAAACCCAACGGTCCAGTTTGGTCCGGTTCAACCCATTTTTTAGTGCACCCCTAGATGTGGCTGTGGAAGTTGTACACACCAATGAACTCATTCATGACATTGTGGCCCTTCAATATTTTTCATTAACATTGTCCATTTATAATCTAAAATTGATACATAACCCAACAAAAAGAAACACCAATTTGTCATAAATTTGTTTAACCCACCCCCAAGAAAATCTTGGCTAAGAAATATCTGGCTGTGATTCATTCACAAATAGTCGCTATTGGAGGAAGAAGAAAACAAGTTCCGTCCAAATTGTGCAGGTACACCAAATTTCATCTAAAATTTAGTTAATAGTCTCTCATCACTCCAGTCAAATCCCCGAGACATCATAGAAACTAAGAAAAAACTGCAAACTACGTGAACATATGAAACTACATAAAACAATCCACCTGACGAATCATATTAAAACATCAATATATTAGATAAACCTAGTGTGACATAGAACATGTGGCTTGTGAGGGGATGAGAATATGTGATGATGATGACTAGCCTTCATACTCCCCTTGGTATAATTTGTTCTCAGGATAAAAGACGGCGATGACAGTGTTCCCGCCAAATTTTCTTCCATCCAAGCCAGATCGAGCTTTTGTAGCGCTATCAACGTCTGCATACTCCAAGAACACCTAAAAAATACAATAGAATTTAATAGCATTCTTATTTCTAATCCTATTATTATCAATGGCAGTTCAGGGGGTTTGTTCACACCCAAAAAACAAGAGGACACAAAAGGAACGTGCATGCTTCAAGAGAACGCCATCAATTTCAACTTTGTCATTGCTAATAGTTCATGTATCCCTAGTATTGAAGAATAATAGCTCAACAGTGACAAATTTTAAAACTCTCAGTTAAAGGATCCCTCAAATGAAAAAGAAACTTGCATGCTACACGGTGACGGACCCAGAGATTTGTATGAGAGGGGATGGCTTTGAACAACAATAATGTATGGTGGGGTATCATTAGAAATTGAGTAGGGACATATTTAAAATTTTCACAAAAAAGTAGGGACATTTTAAAGATTTTTACAAAATATATAGGTAATTTTGTAAATAAAAAAAATTCCCTGCCTGATAAACTGAGGTGATACAAAAAAAAAAAAAAAAAAAAAAACTCGGAAACCAAACTGATGCAGAATCTAAAACAACGAAAGGAAAGATAAGACGGAAGATGAGAAGAGATCAGGTGAAGGGGGTCAGAGATGAGAAATCAAACAAATAAATGAGGCAGAAAAGAGAAGAGGGTGAGAAGTATGTGTGGCGCATAGACTTCCTGCTCTCCAACTAGAATAAGCCTTTCAAACTCGGGGAGAGTATATAGAGTCAAATTCACCTTATTCCTAAATCTGAGTACTAGAGAACAGACGGACTTACCACTTTGACCAATTTTCCATTACCTAAACTTCAAAACAGTAGCTATATAGATTCATTTAGAATGTTCATGCTCTAAGGAATTTGTCCCTTCATTCTTTTTGACAGACAACCTTAGGGAACAAATGCCTACAAGCTACCTGTTAGACAGTACCTAGATTCATTTAGATCGTTCATGTTCCAAGGTATTTGTCCCTTCATTCTTTTTTGACAGAACCCCCTAGGGAACAAATGCATACAAGCTACCTATTCGACAGTAGCTAGATTCAATTAGACTTTCATGTTCTAAGGAATTTGTTCCTACATTCTTTTTGATAGACACAAAGGTACTATGACGGAAACATACCAATATCCATGTCATGCCTGACATGGGTACTTCAAAAATATTAATAAGCCTGTGAATCAAATGTTGCACGCCGTAAGGGATGCACAAAGAGCTTACACTAACCTTTCCAACCCCAGGGGATGGTTCACCATTGGGATTTGGACGCGGAATAACAACCTTCACTAAAGTACCTGCAATATAGATGTGAAAGTTAATCCCAAATTTCTCATAATAGACTCAAAAACAGTCAGGTTAATAGATTAGAAAGGTCATGGAGTCTTCTGTCTGTATGTTAGTCCTGATTCTGTACAGCAGAATGTGGGACTACAGAAGGCTGTAAAACAGAAAGATAAAACACAAGGAAAATCAATATATGTGCAAGAAGATTGGCTGGTAAAAGAGAGAATAAAAATAAAAAATGAGCCACCGTCGCTCCAAGCTTTACCAAATTTTCCGCATTCTGTTCTCATGTCTTCCATTATGTCTTCGTAGTCCTCATCGTCTTTCAGCTCGTCAGCAGTAACCACTTGAGTTAAGCATAAAACTTTGGTGGCCGGCACACCAGGTTGTAGCATGAGCTTCTATTTAAGAGACAATATTAAAAAATGAAACCATAAAAAAAAACATGACCAAGGCTCAATTGCCAAAGAGCATGAAATAACATACATAACACAATAAACTAGAAAGGCTGAAAATGCCCAAGAAAGTGTAGCCAATCCAGATTAAGTCAAACAAGAATGCCAGAGTGAAATGATCAATAAGGAGTAGAAGATACATGAACTGTTCTCACCTGCAATGCTATTTGTTGCTGTACATGCAATAACACGCTCTCTTGCTCAGGTTTGGGCTGGGAAATACCCTGGTTAGCACGCCTAACAGTAAGAGTTTTGTCACCCATTTTAATTCCATTAAGAGCTGTACAAGCAATGTCTGTGACAGAGAGATCCTGATAAACACAAAATGCGTAGCCTTTTGAGTTTCCTGTTTCTCTGTCTTTCACCAGATCAAAACCCCGGAGGGGTCCAAAAGACTCTAGCAACTCCCTGATCTGCGCTTCTGTTAGATAATAAGGGAGCCCACCCACGAAAATGCGATCAGGACCCTCAAGCCCACCCGCGGAACCCGGTGTTAGCCCAACAGCACCTAGGTTTAGACAGGGATTGGGTTGGCTAGGACCCAGTGTAGCAGCCAATGAGGGGTTGTAATCAGTAGGTCTCCTCACCTTAACCGGTGTCCCCTGAACATAAGAAAATGAATATTTAGAAGTCAAACTAGAAAATGAAAATGCAGAAACTTCAGATAGAAGTAAAAGTAGGTATAGATGTAACTATGAAGATTTCAAAAATAACATGGGAACTAAAAAAATTTAAAAGATAATATTTTGGTCTACCAACAAAGGGCTTCTAACACGGTACATATTCTGTCTAGGATCATCTCAAGGAAAAGATTGAGAATCAAAAAAGGGTTTACAGTCCTATGGCTATGGGGGAGTGGTTTGGTGGTGGAGAACAAAGAATTTGAACATTATGAAAACACCAGATTCCTGATGCAATGAACGACAAGATTATCTAAATGAAAAAGACAGCAAATTTAAGAAACTATTGGCCCTTCGAGGCTAATTGAATCAGAGTAGCATTTCTAATACCTCAAACATAATGCCATCTAAGGCCATGGCATTACTGGCCTCCTCAACAGATCTCATCTCCACAAATGCAAACTTCTTCTCGTGATTTATATAAACATTGACAACAGAATCCCCTGAATCTTACAAAACAAAATAGACCTATGAGTTAGAGTTCATCCAATTAAAAGGCAGGTGACGTAGGTATGAAAAAAAAAAATTTAAAAATGCAACTAACCCGGACCAGCGGTGTTTCCTCCAATTATAGACATAACATGGCTGAAAAAGGTCGCCACAGACTGCATAAAAGGCCTTACATGATTAACAGAGCTGAAAGCATTTTGAGGAAAGCCAGATATCTCACAAAGAATAACAATCAGGTGAAACTAGAGCATAGCTTGTACATGCAAGAAAAACAAATTCTGAATATGATCGAAGAAATAATGTGCTCTCTTTTTGGAAGTATAAATAAACTTAGTAAACCCAAAACAAGCCCAGAAGAAACTTTGCTTTCACTCTATAAATGATCTATAGAGAAAAATAATGTTCCAAGAAGAAAATACCCAAGCCAAAATCTATGCTTTTATTAATAACAAGATCTATTATTGCTTCTCACATGTCCCAGAAACTTATAGTAGGTAATGGTTTTCCCAATTAGTGGCTCACCGTACCATCTGTCACACAAATAGACCACGTGTATCCACAAATGACTTACTCCACCACAAACAACAGAACGACTTCATATTTCCAAGTTACTTAGTCAATCACACCCGAAAAATAATTAAATAGGCTAAAAAGGAAAAAGATTCAATATGATTAAAGATAAAACCCTGTTACTAAACAATATAATAATTCTATTACCCCTTAAAATATTACTATTTTAAACTGAAAAGCTGAAATCTACAAAGCATAGAAAATTGCCCCAATACTCCAAGATCAGTTCATAAATTTATAGCTGATTATACAATTATATAAATTTATTAGCACTGACAGAGCATTACTTAAAATAAAGAATATAAGAATGCTCATAAGGTTATCATAAACCATCACAGGATCATACCAACAAATATAAAATAAAAAATTTCTTATAACAAACCCGCCACAACAAGAATCAGAGAACTGGCTAACAAAATAGGGATTTTTTTTGTTTTTTTTTTTGGTTGTTGTGGGGGAGGGGGAGGGGGGTGCGGGGGGACACAGCTCTCAAAGCTGCAGTTAGTTAGCTATCTCAATTATATAGGTAACCAAAAAATATCTAGAAACCCAAAAATGATGAAATATAAATTTCTCTATCAATTTATTTCCTTCAGAAGAGTCATAACCATAATAATACTAACAGAGATTGCTTCTACACAAAACTATATATACAGGAATAGATAAACATCAGAATAAGATTGAGGTAACAGTCTCCTAATATAATAGAAGATATCAAATAGAAAAATCAATATTATGGTAAATAAAAAGTAAAAGAATAAATAAAACAGGAAACCTGTTCATTTGCACTCGGAGGAAGCCCACCAACATACACCCGCCTAGCATGTCTAGTAGCCTGAAGGTATAATATTTTAAGTTAAGTGATATATTTAGCCAAGCAAACAAAGACACAATAACAAAAAAGAAAAGGAAAATAAACAAATGCAACTTATCTAAATTCTGCCTACCTGCTGAGTCATTGCTTGAACCGGCATAACAGGAAGAGCTCCAAACTGCTACATTAAAAGGGAAAAAAATTATAGGAAATAGAAGTGAACAAAAGCATTGCACAAGAATTAATTGCATGGGAGGGGGAAAATACCTGCCCTGTTAATGGAAGCATGTTTGGAAACATTCCAGGAATGGCTGGGGCAGTCCCAGGAATTTGACCTACAAAAGCTAATCAAATTACATCTCAGAGAAAAAGTATATAACTCCATTATTTTTTCTATGATTATAAGTACTACTAACACATCACTTCACGTTCGTATAGATTCCCAATAATTTATGCAAACCCTAGGCTCTTATCAATAAATTCATTAAGTACTGGAGGAGATATTTGTAAAACTACCAAACAAAAATAGTAGAAGGTTGAAGACGAACAAGACCCATCAAACCGGTGCATTGATTCCTCCTCCTACATAAAAGCTACAGAAGCCGGCAACGCCCATTCACAGCACAGTGGGGCTAGTAGCCCAACATTGCCTTCTTACAACAAAGAATAGACACAAAAAACAAACACGAAACACAAGAAGAAACCAAAACTCTCTCAGTTCAGAATTACTGTACCAAAAACAATAGAGCCCGTCTAGGGTCCATGGCAAAAAAATATAATAAAAAAATGCTTTATGTACAAATAAAAGAACAAATAAGTTTCGCTTACCAAAACAACAGCATGCAATTCGATACGAACTTTCCACACTAGATCAAACAGGGAAAAAAAAATATAGCAGTCATGAAAATATAACAATTGTAATCATATAAAATGGACAATGTACCTGTTGCAGCAACAGCACTGGGTAATATTGCAGAAGCAGGAGGTGCCATGTCAAATCCACTAACCCTTTTGCTGCATGTAAATTTAATACCAAGAGGATTAAATAATCAACTATTGATCGAATTATTAAAAAGATTTGTATAAATAGATGTTCCAACAAATATAAAAGTAATGACACCAATCCAAAGCTTCTCAAAAGGAAAGGAAAAAAAATGCCCAAAAATGGTTTAAAATCACCTAATCACCTATTTTCCATGAACATTTTCTTCTACCTCTCCAAACTCGAATACATAAACAAATAAAAATGTGTGAATAGGAAAAGCTGGGGCAGGACATTAAATAAGGGTGTGGGTAGCGTACGGGATGGACATGGCAAAGGATGAGTCCCAAGCGCCTACTAAAAATATTTTTCCCCAGCATGCGCAGCAAAGAAAGTAAGGGTTATATCAATCATTCACCATGATTTTCTTCCCTTCTATAAGAATTACTTGTTCACTACAAGTGAAGTAAAACTACCTTTTCTTTGCCCACCCGCACCACCCACCTCCGGACCCTGCCCCCAATAAAAGGAAAAACCTTTTTTTATAAGGGGAAAAATAAATAAAGAAAAAAGAAAAGAAAGCAATGCATCTAGTAACCCTTTATTGGGCATTTTACATAATATATACTAGAAAATTCCTCAAATCCTGTTAATCTTGTTGCTCTCAACATATATCCTCTCACCAACAACTACTCAAACAATAATCCATGCAGCACATCCAATGGCATTTGATATTAAACTTTCTAACTACAAAGGGCACATCATGGACAAGGACCCCAGGGTAGCATTCCACTACTAATATGGAGTCCTCTTTCAAATCTATTTCAAACAGTTCACCAATGGTACTTATAAGAACTTTGTTTTCCTTCTTTTTCCTCTTGTTCGTGACAAACAACCCACAACACTCTTGGGGAGACTTGAACCCCTCACCTTCCACTTTGAAAGAAAAAGAGATGCCACTAGGCTACTTGCAAAAAAAAACAAATGATTGAACATTGTGTTGGAAAAAGTATTTAATATTGCCCAAAAAAATATTACAACAATCTTGGCAATCTCATATAGCATGGTGAAAAGGTCAATTGCCATCAGAATGGGAACCATGATTCAAGAAAGAAAGGAACATCCTTAATCAATTTAGGACAACTAATATGATCTACCTCTTTGATTGTGAACGAGATCGTGATCTTGATCTATGCCTTGACCTACCCCTCGAGCGAGATCGAGATCGAGACCTCCGTCTATGCCTGTCTTCTCTATCCCTCTCGTAGTCTCTCCGCCTTGTAAGCAAAATCAGATCAACAAAAAATTTCAACACCAGGAGGGAAAAAAAAAAACTTTCTAGAAACAAAAGATAAACATTTCCGAAAATAAGGAAAACACAATTGAATCCAATAAATAACCCTAGCATATCTGTTCTGACAAAAAAACAGTCATATTACTAAAAGGGCATTACATTTTAATTGACAAATCAATTAGTCACATTACTACAAGGCCATAAAACTTCACATGATGAGCAATAGTCCCTCAATTCCACAAAAAATGAACTGAACATATACACAGCTGCAACTAAAGTAACACGGTTCATTACCTCTCATAGTCTCGACTCCGATGATTATCATCACCGTCTCTACTCCTTCCCCTTTCCTTTCTCTCACTCCGATCCCTATCACGGTCTCTACGGTAATGATCACGATCTTTATGCCGATCCCTGTCAATATCCCTTTCTCCATCTCTATTTCTATCCCTGTCTCTATCCCGATCCCTGTCCCTTTCCCTTTCCCTTTCCCCATCGTGCCTTCTCTCCCTTTCCTTCTCTCTGATTTTCGAAAACTCTCTTTCATAATCACGAGAACCATGCTGAAAACAACAAAGTAATAGAAAACTTTTAGTGTATGGAACAAACAAAAAAAAATGAACAAATTTAGATAAAACAATATTTACATATATGTGTGTGTGTGTTTCTGAAAAATTCTATTAGTATATATGACATCAAAACATTTACTGCAAGTCGAGAAGCAAGAAAACTAAATCAATTAAAACTTTAAATTACTTAACACAAATGGTTCACACAAGGGAGGAAAATGATTATAAACTTATGCACTAGACATTGTAGAGGACATTAAAATTTATATAAAATATATTGGAAATTGAAATTGAAAGAGTGAAAAAAAAAGAATATTCAGACATTATGCAAAAGAAGTAGAAAAAGATACATAATTGACAGTGAAAACCACGTGTGTTAAATAAAGAGTTTTAGTGGCTGACTGGCTATTGCAATTCCACAATGCTCATAATGTGTATAAAGACATATTGTATATTACTCAACGCATATATGTAGCAATAAAAAATAAAAATAAATAAAGGTTGCAATTCCACAATGCTCATAATGTGCATAAAGACATATTGCTTATTACTCAACGCATATATGTAGCAATAAAAAAATAAATAAAGGCTGTTGCAATTCCACAATGCTCATAATGTGTATAAAGACATATTGTATATTACTCAACTGCATATATATGTAGCAAAAAAAAAAAAAAAAAACCTTTAAAAATCATAATATGAATCCTTAATTTTCCATCAATCAGAAACAGAAATTTCTTATCTATCTATATATTGCAGTTATAAATAGCACAAAGGAACCCTAAACTCATCAAATTCCCAAAAGTCAAACTCAAGGGGTCATTTTTACAAATTTTCCACGAAACAAAAGACTTGAATATATTATCTCTGAACCCAAAACATGCAAATGCCTAAGAAAAAAAAACTTAGAGGTTTTATTTTTGTACATTTTCCATGTCCAAGAATTGAATTCGCATAGATCACAATAATTTCACATCAATCATCAAAAATTGCACACGCACACACATATAAACATATCCTTGTGCATATACCTTCTCCGAAGAGTGCTCAAAGGTGAGGGTTTCTTCTCCGTTGGCCGACATCAGAAATTGCAGAAATAAACAGGAAAACGAGAAAGGTCTTTGAAGGATTGACGACTGTAGGGTCACCAAAACGCTACCTTTTTTTTTTTCCTTTGGGAGTATTTATAGTTGGAAACCTTGTGCTATGTTGGGTTCACATTATCTCCTTTTATTTTTTTATTTATTATTTTTTTATTTTACTTTGGGAGTATTATGCTTTGTTTTTAACGCTGGATTTGATAGGATTTAAATTTGCATTTGCAAACAAATGGGATTTGATAATTATAGGATTTTAAATATCTTTTTAATTACATTTTAAATTCAGTCTAAATAACTAGAATTTGACAGAATAAATATTTATTAATTATATATTTTCTTATTTAACCCTCCAACGCTTCTTGTTATTAAACCTTATCATCGTCATTCTCTATATAATAATACGTTTTAATGTATTTATATCTATATCTATACTTTTATACTATTATTAAATGTGTAAAAAGTTTTAGAATTTCAGTATTTATTTATTGATATAAAAATAATAGTTATTTTTTATGGATAATTATTACAATATAACCAGTCCGACCCAGTTATAATTATGTTATTATTATTAGCTTTTATTTAAGGAGATGACGCATACCATCATCCTATTAATCCAAGAAGCCAATAAATAGAGGCATGGAAAAATAAGCATGGAAAAAGGAAAAAGGGTACAGAAATTGAAAATTATAGAAATTCAAAATTTTAGAGTAAAATACAGAAGCTCTGCTAATGAGTTTTAGTATTTATTTATTTATATAATAGATGATACGAAAAGCGTATTTTAAAATAAATAAATAATAAAAAAAAACCTCTATAAAACTAAAATATAACTAATACAATATATATATATATATATATATATATATATATATATATATATATATTGTATACTTCAATATTTTAAATTGCATTTAACATATTGATCTTCAAAGTTATGGAACTTTGAGTAAGACATTGATTTCTCAAAATTACCAAAAGTCTGTGTTTAAATCCATTACTATTTTTGTATTCTTGTACTTGAAAAATCTACAATACAGAATTTTATAACTAAAAGTCATACTCCAATCCTTCATAATTTACACCAATTATTTTTGTTTGGTATACTATCTTAAACTGCGTTTAACAGATTGATCTATCATAATACCGTTTAACATATTGATCCACCACCTTGAAATTGTTTTTAATTATAACCAAAAGTCATGGAATTCAATACTTTAGTATTTGTGTAGAATTTTATAAGTAAAAGTCATATTATCCAATTCTTCATAATTTATAAATGATATATAAGCCAATATTGCCAATATTATCTTTAATAATTGTTTTTTTTATTTTTTTATTTCATGTTTCAGAGTTACATCAGGTAATCATTCCCGTTGTTTGTCTTCTTGATGTAATTTTGGAGTATATTTTACAATAAAATAAAGATTTCATTTATTATTTAAACAAGGACAAAAATGGTATTATATTATTTTTATTCAAAAATCCCATTTTAAATCTAATTTGTTCCAAACATATAAATATAATTTCATTTTAATTCACATTTGACAAGACACATTTAAATCATTTCTTATACCAACACGACACGTTTAATTATCGATGCAATTAGATGGTCTGAACACCATTAAGCCAAACTCAAATCAAAACCTTATCCTGAATAATACTCCAATAATATTAGACTAGTCAAATATTCGAACGGAGGATGTTATCAGTTTCTCTATGTAAAGTCCGTTTAACAAGGGATCACCATTAGGCCCAATATCAAATAAGAAAAGCATACTAACCCATTATTAGTCCTGCAAATGATCCAGTAGGCCCATTAATTCACTTCACCACTTCGCATAATAAGGACTAAGGAGTCTTTGACACCTTTAGAATTCTGTTCACCAGTTTTTATTTATTATTTTATCTTTTTATATCCTTCCTTATAGCATGATCTTTCCGAATACGATTCATAGGGAAATGATTTGCCTTTAAATTTTGAGACATTATTGTGAGTCCACAAAGCAAAATGGAAAATGACATTATTTAAATAAAATTACGCGGAATTGATATATTTGCGAGTTGTTTAACTACTTCATATCATTATAAGCAAATTCAATAATGTTAAAGTCAATTTAACATATATCAGTATAATGTTTGTATTATCTTAAATATCACATGAATCATATATTTTTCACATGAATATGCTCGTAGAATTAATTCCAAAATATATACAGATGGAATTACTACACAATAATCTCTTCCTCTTCACAAAACCAAAACCTAGTTTTCATTTTTAGCCTTTTCACCATCACCAAGACGAGGATCGTACGGTTATGGTATAATTTTAAGTTACAACAGAAATCCTTGCGATATATCGATACAGATACTGATACCAATACGCTTAGTTTCACCATATGTATGTAAGCATGAGAAGTAGCTACAATTTGAGTTGGGTGGCCATTTCTCTAAAATTAATGCACCATCAAGTCCTAAAATAAAAAAGTCTTTGAGGTGTGCCCTTATGGTGTTATGGTGTGTAATCCTTCTGCTTCTTTTGGTAAGTCAGGTGCGCAAATTAGGGAATCCTACAATTCTGAATCGTCTCAATTTTAATCTTTTGCAACTCAACTTGCGTTGTTGGTGGGTGCCAGTCAGCCCAGTGCTCCAGATACCTTTTAAACTTTAGGTTGTTATCATGACTGTTGTCGTAACCTAGCTAAGTGTTGGGTTTATCTGGAGTCGGTTATGTTATTAGTCTTTGTGGTTCTTCATTTTTGTGGTTTTTGTGTGTATATGGTGTTTTGCTGTGTAAGTGCTGTTTGGCTGATCTTTTGCCAGGGTGAAAAAAAAAAAAAAAATCCTAATGTAATGACCCTTCTACCCTCCTCTCCCAAGGTTGGTTCAGTGGCATGTCTTGTCACATAATTACCCTACTTATTAACTACTACTATACAATAGAAGGGTTATCAAATTGTTTCAACATTTTTAGTAAATGCTTGGAGGTTCATGATTCCATTGTCCCTTTCTGAATAAATCAAACCCACCCAATCCCACTAGCTTCAAGTCAAAAGTTACAATTACCATGCCTTGACAAGAAAAAACCTTCATTGTCTAATCTTTTTATCTTTTAGCACAATGTCTAATCATAAAATTAAGGTGATAACAATAATTAAAGTTCCATAACCCCAAATGCCATCAATTTCACTATGGGAGTTCTGAATACACAAATTAGAGTTCGTAGTCCAAAAATGATATGAAATTCACTGTTTGGATTAGGGTTTACACTAAAAATTTCTTCGTAATAAAACCCGTCTAACATTATTATATAGCAAGACATTTTTATTTTATTTTTTGCTAACCAGTGTATTTGGAGCTTCTAATGTTCAGGAATTGTCAATGGAGTAAGCTAATATTTCTTTAGGTGGGCTAATATTAGTAATAAATTTTTTTGGTGGGTTAAAATTGGGTATTAAGAATTTTTTTTTTTTTTTTGGATGGCCTTGAGCCCACTCAAGCTCACCCCTAGATTTGCCAATGGAGCTTCACTCCGATTAATTTTCGAACATACTAAGTAAAATTTTCCTTCCACACGGATCGAGAGTAAAGTTTAAACTTTTACCAATAGACGTAACTCCAAAGAATTATTTGCCTTCAAAAAAGAGTTGAACATTATTGACACTAAGCCAAGTGACTTACTACTAAAATGGGTTTATAGTGAGACAAATTGGTCCACCCAACCTTACTTTAATTTCAAATTTGTCTTCATATATGAAGAATTTGGTTCCTATGGTAAATGCCAATTGATAGATACAATTTAGGTCCAATGACTCATGATTCCTCGTAACTAAGTACAATAACGCTAATACAAGCCGACGTTGCTTACTCATTTATTGTGTTATATAGATTAAGATTATTTAAAATCTTATGTATTACGTAGTAAAAAGTACAGCACATCCAAATTTCAAATGGTCATCTGTTATGTTGTCATCTCTCCCATTAATTTTATATCACAAATTTACGATAGTTAAAGACTTGGTGTTGATTTTATTACTTCATCAGCAATATTATACATCTCGAATTAAAATTTAAGATTTGGTCTTGAATCTGATATGGCAATAGTTAAAAAAATATTAATGTCATGTAATTTAATACATATTACAGTGAACTCTTTTATGCACATGTGTTTCCTATATTAGCAAATAGAACTAAATCAGTTGTCAATTGAAGGAAAAGGAAATTACTTATACTAGGTTTTTCCTCTCTATTTTTAATTTGTTTTCCTCTACAAATCTTTTTTAATATATATACAAGTGTGTGTTATGTATATATATATTCAACAACTCTATATTTTTGTTGGATATGTCTTTAAAATTTAATCGTAATTATAAAATACTAAATCAAAATATAATTATAAAAAGTTTTAACTGAATTATGTAAATTAAGGTTCTTATTCACCAGAAAGAAATCATTCATTCATGATAAAAATTTGTAACTTTTAGTTTAATTATTTGAAAATTTACAAACAAATTTGTAGTCTAGCGATACAAGGCTCATACTTTTCAAAAAGAAGTCTTGAAAATTTAATAAATAAATCTCCCGAAATAAGATATATATAGACAAGATTGAATTGATAAAGGCTATTTTCTTCTCTCTTCTTTTCCAACAACTCTCCGGCGGTAAATATCAACTCCATTTGTAACAATGTATTTTATAATAGGGCATGAGCCAATGTATTTATAATATCTACAGATTCTACACCTTTTTGGTAAATCAAATTTGATATAATTACATATAAAACAAAGAAAATAAAACTTTTATTAGACTTTGAGCTGTACAAAAATGGACAAAAAAAAATTTAGAAGTTGAAAAAGTATGAAAAGCCACTCGTTGACTTATAGTAAATCTCATCGAACTATTTTGAAACATTTGAGCAGAAATGTAAAGAACCCAAGTATAGTTTTTTTTTTTTTTTTTTTTTTGCCCTTTGAATTTAACTAATTTTCTCAAAACTCCATTATATTTTCTTTGTCGTTTTGTATGTGCTTCTTTTTCGGTTTTTTTTTTTTTTTTTTTTTTTTGACTTTTTATTGTTGTATTTTTACTTTGTAATTGAATATTGGATGACAGCTTGTTTACATACATCATGCATATCTAGCTACCTCGTTTTATTATCAAAAGGAAAGCATATACGAGTTGGTTGGATTAAACAATTTGAATAAAAAATTACAAATTATCATTTATGTTTCTTCACTTAATTTATTAGCCTCTCAATACTTTACTACTAACAATAATTTATGTTTACCAATTTTTAATTTTTTTTATATTGTTAACTAATTTATTATATTGTCTGATATGATGTTTTCTTTCTCATTCCGACAAGTTTCCTTTCACGTGTGGTCATGTATATACACACATTTGTGTATACACACACACACAATTTTATATGAGCGTTGCTACAGTGAAGACACTCTCATAATAAACTCACGTTCTCATTCGTCAAATTAATAACGCGATGTTACTTGACACTTGATGCAACAGACAAAAGTGTAAATTCACGTGAAAGTATTTATTTTTATTTTTATTTTTACTTATTATGAACTCATTTTCCATGAGCTTATTTTACATGCTTTTAATGAAAGCTGGTCAAACCAGTGCAACCTAAGTCACAGACTGGGGTAATGAATGGGACGTACATAGTTTGGTGGTTTGATTATATATATTTTCTTATATAAATTGGAAAGCCGACAAAATGATGACGATGAACTTAAACAAAAACGAGTGTTTCTTATAAAACGTTGTATTATCAATGGAATGTTTTATTTTTTTGGTGGCATATACATTAAAAGTTGTATCATATACTGTATTTGATTATATATTTTTTCTTTGCAATATAGCTCTTGATATATATAGAATAATTGTAAGTAATTCAATGAATTCGATTTCACAATATCATAAAATATGATGATGTTATCATGATACTATTTTCTATTCACATATACATAATTGAATTTATCTAATTATCTAATTTTTGTCATTTTATTACTCATATGTGAGTAATGATTGGGCAACACGAAAGACAAACGCGAAAATATAAAAACTCTTCAAAATTGAAAGGAGAGAATAATCACAAATCAAAAATTACTTCCAGTATTTCATATCTCTAAATTGACAAAGTAAAAAATTCATAAAACTATATAGTTTGAATATAGCAAATCATTATTTTAACTAAGTCAAAACTTTCTTAATTACTGGTTTTAACAAAATAACAATAGTATTTAATAAGAACTCACGGACTCAAAATATATACACATATTTTATTTGTAGTGTTCAAATCTTCATTAATTTATACTTTATTATGTATTACAATTTAGGATTTCAGTAATGATTCAGTCATTTATACTCTGTTATGTATTGCGATTTTTTTGTACAATATATATGGTGTACTAATATTAAGAGAAATAATATTAAGTTCATTAAACAATTGACTCAATCTATTTGTCTAGTCTAAAGTAATTTTGTTATCTATTTCATATGATGGATAAGTTCAATGGTGGATTTCATCCTCTATATCAAAGAGATCAAAACCATTACACTAGACAAATTGGTTTACGAATTATTTTTTTTAATATTAAATAATCAATTTTTTAAAAAATATTTTATCCTAAAAAAAATTACACACCCGTGTTCTTATGAGACCGAGTATCGCTCGACTAAAACCTTTGATATATATAAAAAAAAATTGTATACATAATTTGGTGACTTACTTGATTACAAGAATATATATATATATATATATATATATATATATATATATATATATATATTTAAAATAATACTACAAACACCGATGATTTTTATTTTATTTTATTTGTGATTCTAAAAAATAGTGTTCACTCATGAGTTCTACTCAATATAATAAGAACAATATCTCTCATATTAATTATTTATTTTAATAATTGTTACAACACTCTTAACAAAAATTAATGGACTACTTTATCTCTGTGTTTTTTTTTTTTTTTTTTTTTAAGTTGGAACGCCGACAAAATAATGATGACGAACTTGAACCAAAAAGAGTGTTCTAACAAAAAGTTGTATAATAAAAAAAATAAAATAAAATAAAATTAATTGTATCATATGATTGTACATTTCTTAGGACAAAAATTGGATAAAGCATTGGTATTAGTGTACCGTGAAGACGTGTACACAAGGTTCTCTCTCCAATTATAGAATTAAATCTAATACGTACACGTACTGTCGGTCACGTTAACTTCCATCAACGCTCTAATTAATACCAATTGATACCAATTAAAGCTGATTAGTTGAGCACCAAAATCATTGTTTTAAGTGTACTGCGGTAATTGTAATATATATTTAAACTTAAAGGACAAATTAGTAATTTAAAAAAGAGCCAATGCATTAATTACATATCTTCTTAAAAAATAATAACAAAAGTGAAAAATTATGGTCTTAAGAGAGATTATTCAATTTTATATGGGAAAAGTTAGAAAATCATAAGTTGAGCAAAATTTATCCTGATAGAGTTGTCGCATTGGATTATATGAATAGTTAACGACGGTTCTAACACATTTTTCGAAGAGTTACAAGTAGTCTGGTTTGGCCCACAAATATATATTTCGATTGGGAGCGGCATACTGAATAAAATTAGCCCTTATACAGTTTAGATTGCCCAAACTGCAAACTAGGGTTCCAACTCATTTTTCGAGGAGTCACAAGTAGTATGTTTTGGCCTGTAGAGATCCATTCCAGATTGAGAATGACATACTAAGCAAAATTTGTCCTTCTGCATGTGTGTCATTAGATTATATGGACCGTTAGGACAACGGATTACCAAAATTCCAATTGAGCGTTTTAACTCATCTTCCCAAGTAGTTTGAAATTCGATTTTATATGGGAAGAGTTAGAAGATCTTAAGTTGATGATCAAAAAATATGTGTCGTTTCACACGATGAAGAAATAAAGATAATGCTTACGTAGCTAGTGGAGGTTCTGGAGGACTTGACTATTTCTTCTACTTTTAATGTCGCAAACTTGTTTTAGTACTGTCCTCTTGATGAGCCACGTTATTCCCAACCTAGTTCAATGATAAGTTTTTCTAAAGTAGAGGGAACCAATGTAGAACATGAAAGTGTCATTGGATTATATAGATCGATTGGACTTTTCAACATGTTTTTTGAGGAGTCACAAGTAATTTGGTTTGGCCTATAGCGAGATCCATTCCTTATTTGGAACCTGAGCAAAATTTATTGGGATATAGTTTTTCGAGGGTTCCAACCAATTTTTCGAGAGCTCACAAGTAGTTTGGTTTGGCCCGTAAAGACCCATTCCTGATTGAGAATGACATACTATGCAAAATTTGTCATTTCGCAAATGTGTCATTAGATTATATGAACAGTTTGGATAATGAATTACCAAAAGTCCAACCGAGAGTTTCAACTCATCTTCTGAAGAGTCCCAAATAGTTTGGTTTATGAGAAAGTTTCTCTTCCCTTGATAGTGCAAAATATAAGATTTAACAATTACTCGCATAATACACTCCCTCTTGTCACAATCTCATGGTCCATAAAAAAAATTGGTATATTTTTTTCAATAAAATAGGAATTTACAATGAAAGTTCAGCTTTGTGGGGACATGTGACACACTTGTGTGACAATTCTATGCCGTGTGATTATGGGTTAGACAAAATTGATCATTACAAATCATTTCTCGAAGAAAGATTTGTCATTTTGGGGACATTTCTAACTAAATTTCTATTTAGCAACTTTCACCTTGTCTTCCCTACCAAAGAAAATGTATCCATACATACAATGACACAAGAAGGAACCTGCAGAGAAAAAAAGTGCTCAACATCTTTCTTTATTTCTCTTTATTGTTTTCTCAATTTCCCATTGGAATCTTTTCCAAAAGCCAAATTAATTCATGGACCTACATTTCTTGACCTATGGTGTCGGTCGACATTAAAAAAATCCACATGATTTCCTTGCAATTATAAACTATTACTTACATAATTATAAAGTTGTTCATACATTAATAATAATATAATATATAATTACTATTTAGCTGGCAAAAAATGTCGAAAAGTCTACTGTCTTTTATGAATCTTTTTATAGCATCGAATGAGAAATTATAGCCCTCTATTCGAATCATCAAATCGAAAAAGACTAATTAACAGATCAAATTGAATCCGAATTATTTATGTGTTGTGTAAAAAAACAGTTAGAAGCATGTGAAGCTTGTTTAATACAATCTTAGTGTTACCAAAAAAAAAAAAAAAAAAAAATTGTTTGTGTATGTGTGTGTTTTGTGTGTGTGATGTCTTTGTTGCCTGAGAGGCTTACCTCAATTTATATATATCATTATTGTAGACCATAAATATATATAGCTGTACTGTTATAAGTACACGTTTGTGGAGTTTGTTCTCATTTAGATCATTGCCTAGCTTCAATTTTTTTTTTCTTTTAGGGAGAGACAGAAGTCTTAAAACCCAATCAAATACCACTTGATTTCTTCACCTTCCATCTCTCTCTCTCTCTCTCTATCTCTCTCTCTCTCTCACACACACACAAACACACCTAACTTGAATTCTAAGTATAGATATCTCTCTAGTCCCCTTTAAATGACAGCAGACTGAACTCATTTTTTTTCATTCAAACATCATAAAACCTTGTACTCTCGAACCTGAATCATATTTGAGCTTCTGTGTCAGAGGTTGTTACTCCAAAATTTTCGTCGGTGTCATTCGTTTGCACAGAGAGCATAACTCGTGCAGTATCGAACACAAATGGGACGGTTGTCGTGTGGTGTAAAGCAAAAGCTAAGAAAAGGGTTGTGGTCACCGGAAGAAGATGAGAAACTGTTCAACCACATTACTAGATTCGGCGTTGGCTGCTGGAGTTCAGTTCCTAAACTAGCTGGTAAATTTTCAATTGTGTTGCAATGTTGTCTATATATATATATATGTATATATATAATTAGAATTGGTATTTAAAAAAATGTGGTTTTGATTGATGCAGATTTGCAAAGGTGTGGGAAGAGTTGTAGACTGAGATGGATAAACTACTTGAGGCCTGATTTGAAGAGAGGAATGTTTTCACAGCAAGAGGAAAATCTCATAATTAGTCTACATGAAGTTTTGGGCAACAGGTAAGGATATATTGAAGAACATAAACAAATATTTGAATCATTGATTCGAAAATCGAAATGGGTAAAGTTAAAATTTTTTGTTGATTTGATAATGAAAATTTTGAAAAAATGGCAGGTGGGCTCAAATTGCTGCACAATTGCCTGGAAGAACAGATAATGAGATAAAGAACTTCTGGAACTCGAGTGTGAAGAAGAAGCTAATGAAGCAAGGAATCGATCCACACACACACAAGCCGGTGAAAAAAATCGAAGCAAGAGAAGTGGAGAGTTCTAAATTGCCACCACAATTCAATGGCGGACTTCAAACTATATCAAGCTTAGCAGAAATCGAGCAAGCATTTTGTGCTAACAATACCAGTATGACTGCGAATGAGAGCAGAGTATTAACAGAGGAATCAACAGAAGATTGTAAAAGCAAACCAGTGTTTGATCCAATATTCATGTTTGATCATATCCAAGGAAGTATGGATCCAATGGGGTACAATTTGAATCTTCTGAGTCAATATCAACAGCAGACTTTAAGACCTTGTGACCAAAATCCCGACTCTGGTGCTTTTACTTCATTGTCAACTATAACAAGTTTTGATCACGGAAACATGGGTGATACAGATTTTTCTGATAATTCAACCTCGGGACTCTGTTCGTTCTTGTTCAACGAGCAAAGGGAAAGTTCGAGCAATAGCTCAAATGGTAACAACGGTCACAGCACCGGGTTCCAGATGAACGACATGGTGGAAAACGCAGCATTTTCATGGGACGAAGAGACAAAGTTGGACAGTTTGTTGCAGTATCAGTTCAGCGAAATCAAATCCGAGGAATTGAATCCAGAACCATGGCAAGAGGGGCAGTTTGGTGCTCACAATTCAGAAGATTTCAGTTGCTATCATTTGACTTCATCATCAGATGATCTGCTTGGGCCAAACTTGGATATGTTCCAGCAAATATGAACTGTAGAGTCCCTTTTTCTTTTTTTACCTCCACACACACACACACACACACACACACACGCACAGATTGATGTTGATAGTACAGATAAACCCTAGTAAGGTTTGAGGTGAGCTTCTTTGTTTTCAACCCCTTTATGGTATTTCACCATCTGAATTGTTTAAATATATGAAATAATGTTTTTGCAGTTGTACGAGTGAAACTAATTATCTGTTTTTAATTACTGCCTTTTCTTTTCCTCTTTTTCTTCACATCTTTATTCCGGAAGAAATAAATAAACAAATAATCCCACTTGAGAGGACAAATCTATTCCAAACCCCGATATTATACTAATTATAAATTAAATTATACCAAAAACTGTGGCCTAGTAATATCTACCTCTTTCAAAGCGAAATATTGAGAGTTCAAGTCTCTCCAAGAGCATTGCGAGAGTAATTTGTCGAAAAAGAAAAGAAATGAATTCATTTGAAGAGTAATCATCGGTTTCAAATTTGCTCCTAAGACTAGATAAGAGCTTCGAGATATTCAAGAGTTGAATATGAACTATTTAGATATGCAAATGACTTGACACGACTTAGCACTTGTAATGGAGAGAATATGGATTCATCATTGTTGAATAGTCTCCATTGTAAATGCACGTGCAACACATCACTTCCAAACTTCTAGCAGAGCATCCCAACATCCCCGGAATTGATGCTCCAATTTCGACGCTAAAGCCAGCAACGTTCTAGGAGACAAGGCAGTCCTTTTTTTGTATTGTTCACGAGGGCAAGCCCATAGAGCTGGTCGAGCAAGAATAGCCGAAACCGAATGACTCTATATGATGTCGATTTATCCACGCTTCCATTCCACCATTTCTAGAAGAGGGCAAGTCTGCCGCGCAAACTCGTTGACCTCACCTTTTCGTCTCAACCAAAAAAATACTTCCGTTCTATATTAGTAGTCAATTTTATATTAGTAGTCAATTATTTTATTTTTATATGTTCTAAATTAATTGCCTTCTTTAAAAGATCAAGTATCTTTTTTTTATATTTTCATTATTATTCTTCATTTTTAAAAAAGTTTTAAACTTTATAACTATATATATTTAAATTAGAAAGGACAATGCATATATATTATATATATTTTAAAAGGAAACAATACATTAATTATATATTCTCTTAAAAACTCTAATTTTTATAAATGGACATATATTTTGGAACGAAAATAGTACAACATAGGCTCAATGACAAGCAGAGTGCGGAGGCACATGGTAAAGTCTGTTTAGTAACGACAATGATTCTTAATTTTTATTATTAATTCTTCAAATTGAGAATTAAAAGTAAAAATCATATTTAATAAAATACTTTTATTTTTTAATTTTAAGAGAGTACTTTATAATTTTATGAAAAGAAGAGACAGCGAGAATTATATGCTTTTTCTAATTTTTATGCTGTTCACAGAAATTATTTCCTCCACTGTAGCATTATAAAAAATTAAAAAAAAAAATTATAAAATCAACACTCTTCTCCACCCTGGCCTCCACAAACCATCTTTTTCCGCTCTTCTTCTCTCTACCACCACAAACCGCCACCGCCGATGATGGAGTTGGAGTCGCAGAGGAGAGAGAAGACAAACACTTTCTCTCTCTAGTTTCTCTCTCTACTGGTCTCTAGGAGGTGTGAATATCAGTAGCCTCAATCATGGAGATGGCATCAGGATCCCATCTTGCACCAACCAAACCAAGTCAGTGAAATCCTCATCGGTTTAAGTGATCTAATAAGGGGCTTCCTAAAGTTCAATTGTAAGGAGCGCATAAAATGGGCTTTTGATTTTGCCTAAAGGTGGGTGGAGGGAATGCAATTAATCTAGAGAATGGCACCTATATACAGAGGTTGTATATATGTGTGTGTGTAATCCTTTGTGTGTATATATTTGGGTGGAGCTGATCTGATAGAGTGAATCGGGTTCAATTCGGGCAAGAAATGAGGGAGAAGGGTTGAAGAAATTTTGTACCTACAAAATAAAAATTGTAATTATTAAACATGCTTTCTAATTTCTTGTTTTGAAAATATTAAATGTATAAAAAATTATACTTTCTAATGTGAACATGATTTACTTTATATTTTTATTTTATTTTTAAAGAAAGTAAAAGTAAGAAAATAAAAACATTATGTTTGTGAGCATATATATTCAACGCATGTTCAATGTAATGGGTATTTCAAGTGTATCAAAGGGATAAAGTACTTTAACGTTTGTATTTATAATTATTGAATAAGTATTTTAAATTTGAATTCGAAAAAGATTTAGTTTAAATTTTAAGTTAATTTTTTTTTTTTATAATTTTAAATCTGGTGCTACCAAACCAAACGCAAATTATGAAACTTATGGTGAAAATATCCCATATTCCATCATTTACATGGGACCAGTTGACAAATATGTAAACTCAGACTGATGACAACAGCCTTTTGCATGCTTCAATGTATCATAAGTTCATAACACCACTTATTTGCATGAATGAATCAAATGTGTTGACTCCTACCTCTCCCTTTATTTGTTTTTTTTAAAATTTTTTTTTTCTTTCCCGCAACTCTACATGGTCCTCAAATATGTATATATATATATATATATATATATATAAGAGAGAGAGTTACACCGACAACAGTGGGAATTTCCTGATGTCCATGCTCCTTCTAAGTTTGACCGGAGAGAGTTTGAAGAGAGAGAAAAAGGAAGTAAAATTTTATTTTGATTTTGATTTTAAAGGAATAGTGGTGTGATTGTGATAGAAATAATAATAATTTAAGCACGTGGTTATCGAATTTGATTCAAGTTATTGGGGGTGACGAATGCTTCACATAATAACACCACGACGTCATGTTATGAAATTCATCACTTCTCTCACATAAATTTGTAACTCTTCGATTCCATCCCTAAATTACTACTCTAATCGAGAAGTAACATGCACGCATCAAAGTCATCCAGTACAATAATTCGTCCCTCCTAGTAAGTTAGAAAAAATTTATTCTTAAATAAATAAAAGGGAAAAGAAATTGGCGTCCATCAAATGGTATTTTACCATTCTTCCTAAAGTGGAGAATTCAAAATAATAATAAAAAACTAGTGAATTATTACTTATATTTCCTTCCATGTGTTAACACCATTCTTTCATTTTCCCAATAACAAACAATGATTTCTCCTTTCCTTTCCCTCTTATTCTACTTTTATTTATTAATTTCTTTGGTGTGCAAAAGATAATTATGACAAAATTACTCAAGGCCATTTTGTAGTCATACATAATGTACAACATTTCTTCATTTTCAGAGTTCGACCCTTGAGAGGGGATAAAGATTAGCTGGTGGCAAGTCATAGTGTACAAGAGAAACACAACTCTTTGTAGTTATGCTTAATGACCCACAAATTGTCGGTTAGGGTCCTTAATAGAGATGTCAATTTAATTCCTTCTGTACCATCCTTATTGGGACAGATTTGAAATCATCCTAAAAAGATTAGTAAAGGATTTTGGAAGAGAGTTTAAAACTCATAATATCCCGAACCTGTCCCAATTAATAATTAGCTATAATTTTTCTTGTATTTATCATTTCAAACATAGCCAGTTGTGATGATTATAGATTTTAAATGGTGGCTCACCCTGAGCCCAGTTCAGCCAAAAAGTCTATGCACCCTTTAAATTTTGTAACTTGCAAAGCCAATACTACAGTCAAGTCCCAATCAATCCATAGTCACTAAATGGGCTGGCATTGTCATTGATGCTGAGATAACTGGTGCCGATAAATTAGGGTTTACCTAATGGTCTGTCCAAACTCCACGCTTGGATCTCTATTGTATGCACTTGAAGTCATTTAAACATGATATTTTGCCGGGCTTACCCAGTCCCGGAAGTGACGGGAGCCTCGTGCACTGAGCTAATCCTTTTATTCTTTTCAAATCAACTGATACGTTGACACAATCCAACTTACGAAACAATCGGTCAAAGTAAGTTTTTCAAATCATAAAAATGTTACGCCCCAGGCAACATGCCAGGGCCACAAGCACAAGCACAAACTCTGAGCTGATGGTATTAATGTGATGATGAAAATTAAACTAAAGCTTATTGTAAGAGATCGATCTCCACTACATTCAACAAAAGAAAGAACAAATTATTTAATATATATGAGATAATAAATATTTAAAGAAAATTTTGAATTATGAGATTATAAATAATCATTGATTGTAGAAAAACGAACATGGAGCCTCGTTAAATCATTTAACTTCTTCTAGATTTTGTTAGTTCATGAGAAAATTTTAAGTAACATAAGAAAAGAAAAAAAATAGGCAAAAAAAACCTGTTACTGCCCTCCACTTAGTCCTTCAACTGTTATGTGACTCTACGGCCCTGTTGAGAATAATTTCCTATCTCCTGTGCTTCCCTGAAAAGAAGGGAAAAACACACAAATTCAACAAAACAACTGAGATCCATTAATAGTTAGAAAAAGCTATCAAAAATTTTGTTTAAAAAAAATTTTAAAAAAAGAAAAGAAAAAAGAAATTGCTATGAAATCTGAAACACAAACAACGGCAAATACCAATAAATATAACAGTGTTGGATTAGTGAATTTTGTCCAGGAAGCATTATTTGCTTGTAAATTGTTCTTGTTAGGGGCAGCAAACCCACGACTTGTTAAGATCGAACAAGAAACGGATAGTGTACAACATAAGCCTGTCAATAGACGAGTATATAATCAATCTGAACCAGAAACAGGAAATCTGCTGAGTTCTTTCTTTAATCATTTTACATTCTAACTTGCAATTGATTGCCAAAACAAGCTCATACTAATCCTGACCTAGTCAAACAAGTATCAGTTCAATAACCTACATCATGACATCAAACTTAATCCAACATACAAGTTGCGCAACCTATAATACACACACAGACACATGGCCTCAGAAATCAGATAAATGGATGATAGAAACAGTCATAGAGCAATCTTAGTATTAATACTCCTATGTTGTGTACCAAGTCCAATTAACATTATTTTTTCGGTAAATTAACACTATCATCAAACATAACACTTCTCTTTACTATACCCAATAATTTTTTTCCTCTAATACAATATTTTAAGGGTTTGGAAGATAACGTTACAGATTGTAATTTGAACAAAATTTTGTGAATAAAGAAGAAAAAAAAAAGGAAAAATCATGGTCTGCTGATGGTGAAAGACAATTGCTACTTATGAATACCTGTCACAAAATCATAAGGCCTTTAAACCCAAGCGGCAGACAATAACCAACTTTAGAAATAGAAAAAAGAAAAAGAGCCACTGTCCAATGTAGGTCTTGCATATGCGAAGAGCTGAAATAGACCTAACTGTTGGCATTATTATATAGTTGAATCAAGCAAATGAAGGAACTGGAAGAAATGCAGCAGAAAAATTTTAAATTATTAAAATCTGTGTCTTTTTCACATAAACCACATCATTTTCAAAGCAAAAGCAACAGACACGGGACAGATATGACCTGGTAGGACTGATTTGCTAAAGACCAGAATGCATCTAGAATTATTGAAAGTCTTTAATAAATATTAATCATGGAGTTGTTTATGTGGCATAACCAATTTGATAACTAACACTAGAACAGAATGCATGCAGTAAAAAAGCAGCAGCATCATTTAATACATGATTCCTATATCACAATTTATGTTATGTTTTGGGAGCACCGAATCGGTGCCGCCAAACCTAGCATTAGACTATGTTTGCTTGGCATTTCAAAAGTGCTTGCTTCAGAAGCGAACATTGATTTCAATTTTGCTGTCAAAAAGAAAGATAACTCTACTTCCAAAGTTTCAAATCAAACAGCATATTTGCTTCAAACCTTGCAAATGCAATAACAACAACAACAACAGGAAGATACAGTACCATTGGCCCTACCGCAGTGACACAAATTGTAGGTCATCAAAAAGCCATTTGTTCAAATCAGTTGGCAAAAGAATCTGATTAAAAAACCCCAAAACAGTATCAGTAATAAAAAAATACTTACCACCCCTTCATTCTTTCAAGATGTCATGAATTTAACAAAATGAATTTTATTGAATAGGAACTTATATATAGGAAATCATAATTTAATTGGACTTTTACTATAAATCTATATTGTGTATTTGTGCACGAAGACACACACACAAACACACATAGATAGAATAAAAGCCATTCAAGGGCAGAGAGAACCATAGAAGTAACAAGAAGTAGGTATTTCTTTAAAATTTACTTACAAGAACAGATAGTAATATCTCCAAAACATCTCATCTCTACATGGAATGGAGCAATGCATTTAGTTGAATGATCTACTGAATTTATGAACCACCATCAAACTTGTCTTCAGCCCTCAATTTCCTCATGTTCACTGTGTACGCTAACCATTTAAGTTGTAGTCCCAAGACAAACACATGAATGAAATGTTATAGCAGATCAAATGAGGCATTCAAGGTGCATAACGCCTGTCTATGCATGCGTACGTCCATTTTCATATAGAGTCAGTCGGTCCATAGCCTTGAAAAACAATTGTTTCATCTCGGGATGCTGAGCCAGTGGGGAACGAGCTTTCTCCTCAAGAAATTTCAATGTTCTTTCTTGTTCAAAAACCTTGCTGTTACCACAATGGAATGCAAGGTAACATAACAATACAAGTTCATGCACTCGACGCCGATCACTTGTCCTCAGCAGATTCATTAGCCGAGGGACTCCATCGAACTCAACAATCACCTTTGAGTGCTCCACACAGTTAAAATTATCCGGTAACACAAATTTCCCAAGCGCAATGGCAGCTTCTGTGGCCACCTCCGCGTTCCTATGGCTGAGCTGAGCAACCAAATGAAGCACAATTCGAGTCTCCTTGGCGGGAAATGTTCGTGCCAAACACCCAATCGATTTAACTGTAGGAAGTAGCAATCTCGGACTGGTTTCTTCATTTATTACTCTCAAAAGCTGATCCAACACTGCCTTTGCAGCAGGAGAGTTGGGCTTGAAAGCAACTCGTCTAAGGTCTGCATTAAATTCAGCTACCGCGGTTAACTCCATTACTGTCATCAAGCAATTAATCTGCAAATCCCCCTTTTCCTGCTCAATAATCTTAGCCAAACAAAGCAACCCTTTTGCCTCAGTAATCTTCCTACTATTCAACAAACTTCCTTTTGAGAGTTTCCACAAAGCCTCAGAACAACTAATCTTCAACTTAAGTTTCAACTCTGGTGCCTCAACATTTCTCTTGTCCTTCTTATGGTTCACAGACAAAAATGACGATGAAGACGAAAAATTCGAATGGTGGCTCTGATTAAATGTGTTTTTTACTAATTCTTTATTAATCTGAACAAGTGAATGGAGACCAGTATTACCTGACTGAAGCTTGGGATCATCATTCAAATCTGTATCCACAGACAATAGTGTCACCAAAAGCCTGATCACATTTTCTCTGCCCAATTCCTCCTGCACATCAGAGTCCATTTCCGCCATTCTCGACACCAAATTGGAAACCCAAACCTGAACCCTCATTGGAGAATCACCGAGAACCTTGACAATCATCGGAACGGCGAGCTCCTTCGCGATCAATCGAGCTCTGTGGCGATCAGTACACAACTTGCACAGGGCAGCGGAGGCTGCAATTTGGGCATCAGCAGAAATTCCTTCTTTCAAGAGCCTCAGTAACGGGACAATCCCACCTTCTTCCACGATCAGTGTCTTGTTCCGATCGTTGTCTCCGGCGAGTGAAGCGAGCTCGTTGGCGGCGTCGGTGCGGTTTCGGAGATGACCCATTTGGAGGGAAGCGATGTATGACCAAACCCAAGAGAGAATGGGGTCGTTCTGGGCGATTGGCGGGAGAGAGAGCAAAGTTCCACCTTCTTCGGAGTCGAAGACGGAATAGACCCAATTGAGGTCGGCGATGGAGGACTCGAGGAAGTTCGAGGCCTTGCGGAAGTCGGCGGCGGTGGTGATGGCGAACACCAGGCGGAGGACGCAGCCTCGGCGGCACCGCCGGGCTAAGGTTAAGGCCCTCTCGAGGTTCTTCGTCACGTCGGCGACGATTCGTCTGATGGGTCGCTCGTAGAGCGGCTGGGTTGACTCGGCGAGTTGGACGGCGGAGCCGAGCATCTGGCGAAGCCGTTCGGCGAGCATGGCGAGTTCTCTGCATTCGAGTTTGGATGACTCTGCGACTTGGGCTGAGTTGATGACTCGGTCGGCGAGTAGGATTGCGAGTCTCAGCTCGTCTTGTATTTTCTTCTCTTCTTCAGGCATGTCCATGGCCATGGATGGATTTTGGTGGAGGTGTTTGGTTATAGAGAAACCAAGTACAGTAGTAAAGTGCCCCTGCCGTACTGATTTTCTTGGCAGATAGAAAATGACACCGTCATTAATAATTGAAGTGTGAACTGAAGAGAGACCAACCTTCTCTTCTGAAAAACAGTACAAATAATAATCTTTTGTATTTTATTATAATATAATGTTGTGGCTAGAGAATGACACTTGAAGGACGTTTAGATTCGTTTATTTATGCCCTGTGTCTAGTTGGGAGGGACGGACGGAGATTATAAAAAAAAAAAGAAAAAAAAGAGGAGGGAAAGAAAATGGAAGACATTTTTTATTTTTAAAATGGGAAAGATGTTTTTTTTACTTTTATTATTATTTTTTTTAAAATAAAAAATAAAAAATTGTTTTGTGGGAAGAAGAGAAAATTTAAAAAGATTGATGAGTGACAAATAGGGTGAGTGAAAATTTTAGTGTAAATTACACTAATCTCTTAAGATTTAGACAAATTATATAAACCGTTCAACTTTTATTATTTTGACCTCTTCTGAAATTTAGTGTGTAACATCCTAAATTATTTTCTTGGAAGAAAATAAGAGAAAAAAAGAATGGAAAAAAATAAAATAAAAAACAATGGAAGGGAGAGAGAATGGAAGGCATTTTCAGATTTTAACATGGGGGAGATGTTTTTCTTACTTTTTTTGTTTTAAAAAAATAAAAATTGTTTTGTTGGAAGAAAATGAAACTTTACAGGATGGATGTGTGACACATAGGGTGAGCAAAAATTTTAGTGTAAATTGCACTGTTTTCTTAAGATTTGGACGAATTATATAGATCACTCATCTAAATTTAGAGTGCACTCAATAACACCTGATCATTTTTATTTTTTACAAATTTGTTTATTAAATTTTATAAAATGACAATTTAACTTTTTTTATATAAATTGCAAAACAATAGATTTTAAGGTGGCCAGCGAAAAACACCCATATGGTGGTATACATGTAGAATATATAACCCTTTATGTGTAATGAAAAATTCCTAACATTAATCCCTATGAGCTCTGAAAAATTCCTAACATCCAAATTTAGAGTAACCTGAATGTTGAAAAGACTAAAGTATTCCTTAAAAACTGAATTAAAAAAGGGTAAAAAAAATTATTAAATGTAAAATGATTAAAGTGTCCCTCTTTTTTTCTTCTTGCATTATTGAAAGAGAAAATACTATTTTCGTAATTTATATCTTACAAATGTTGTAATGTGCAATGCACATGACTAAATTTGTAACCAGACAATGACCTCAAACCCTTCTTTAATCATTTTTTCAAACTTAATGCATTTATATACCCAAAAAAAAATCTTATGGGTGATATTTGCCCAAAATTTAAACAATAGGGGAGTTTTTCTTACTTTGCCCTAGAACTTATAATATAAGGATATTATTGAAAGAGAAAATGGTATTTTCGGAATTTATATCTTAAAAATATAATGTACAATGCACATGACTAAATTTGTAATCAAACAGCAACCTCAAACCCTTCTTTGATTATTTTTTCAAACTTAACGCACTTATATATCCAAAAAAATCATTTGGATTATATTTGCCCAAAATGTAAACGTTAGTGGTGTTTTTCTCACTTTGCCCTAGATTTTATAATATAAGGACATTATTGAAAGAGAAAATGGTATTCTCGAAATTTATATCTTAAAAATGTAATGTGCAATGCACATGACTAAATTTATAACCAAACGGTGACCTCAAGGCCTTCTTTGATTATTTTTTCAAACTTAACGCTCTTATATACCCAAAAAAAACCTTTGGGGTTATATTTGTCCAAAATTTAAATATTTGGAATGTTTTTCTCACTCCGTCTTAGATTTTATAATATAAGGACATTATTAACTCATACCGAAAAAAAATTATGGTATAAAAAATCATAAGAGAGTCGCCGATAACTAAGATCATTTCCTCACTAAGAAGCTCACACTTCTACCATTTATTTCCTCCTTTGTTTATTTTTTGAGTTAAGTAATGTCAAAATAATAAACATTGAATAGTATATTCATGCCTAATTTATTCAAACTTTATAAAAATTAGTATAATTTACACAAATTTTTATAGGTTCTAATATTGAATCTATAAAAAACCACACGTAACACTACAGAATTTAGTGATATTATAAGTTGGTTTGAATAATATTTCATTTGCTTGCTATGAACAATTTATATATACTCTACAAATACCCTTTACAGCGAGGATCCAGATGTGGACTGGAACTCATGCTGATCGAAAAGAGAAAATTCGCTTTTGAATAGGCAAAGCAGAATTTTGGGCCCACAAATAATGAGTCGAATAGAATAAGACATTTTGCTTTTGAATAGGCAAATCCCCCGTTCACATAGCAGAATTTTTGGGCCCACAGATAAGGAGTGGAATAGGAGAAATTATTATATAGACCAAGTCCATACACCTCACCTCACTTGACTACACCAATTAATTGTAGACACATGTAATAAAAAATTATTTTTATATTTAATTTGCCACATCAGCAACACCTCTCTCCTCTTTTAGCCTTCCCAATCGACTCATCTATTATCGTTCTCAACTCTGAACTTCCCCCCCCCCCCTCTCTCTGCAACTACAAACTACAAAAGCTACGAGAATCAAAACCCATATATTTCAATTTATCTATCTGTATGCAAGAATCAGAAGTTGAAAACCCATATCGGCATATCATTTCAGATTGTTCAAAAAATCAAAACCCATATCTTTCAGTTTCCATCGCGCGCTGTTCCATATCTTGTTTGGAACATACATAAAGAATCAGTGGCCACAACTTAACTCACCATCATTTTAGAGAGAGAAAGAGGAGAGAGACTATTGGGTTTTGAAAGAGAGGGCAAGAAATGGAAACTGATTGGGAAGGAACAGCGGGCGATGGAAACTGAAAGATATGGGTTTTGATTTTTTGAACAATCTAAAATGATATGCGGGTTTTCAACTTTTGATTCTTGCAGACAGATAGATAAACTGAAATATATGGGTTTTGAACTTCTAATTCTTGTTGATTTTGTAATTAGCTGTTGCAGAGAGAGGGGGGCTAGTTCATATCTGAGAACGAGAATAGAGATGGAGGCGATTGAGGTGGCTGAAAGAAGAGAGAGACCTTGCAAAAGTGATATGGCAAATTGAATATAAAAATAATTTTTTATTACATATGTCTACAATTAATTGATCTAATTGGTATAATCCACCAACTCAACCAAGTGAGGTGTACGGACTTGGTCCATACAATAATTTCTCGCCTAATAGAATGAGCGCCATTCACATAGCATAATTTTGGGGCCCAAAAGTGATGATCCAAACAGGGACCATAGGAGTAATTCAAAGGATGATAGTTTTGGGGCCCACAAGTGATGACCCAAACTGCCTCAAAACTCTTGGTCAATTCCCCACGACTTTTGAGGCAGTCGAATCAGGATCAACTACACACGTCTCTTAATTAACAAATTATTTATAATCAGGTGTTTAATACCACTGATAAAAGTATATTAATGCTAAGTAAGGAGTTTGATTTGTTGTTTGGTGCTACTGCTACGTTTATAGTAATACTACCGATAGAAGTATATTAATGCAAAGTGAGGAGTTTGAATCCTCTCGAGTTTGGAGCATGATTCGCCGTATTATCCGATACGCGACTCGTATATGATAGTTTACACTGACTTTGTCTGAGTCCATTACACCGCGACTTATATCGCGACCATGACCCTGTTTTCAACAAATGCTCACACTTTCCAGGAAAAAAAATGCATGCCCTGTTTTTAAACATCAGTTGAAACCTTGAAGAGATCGCAGAAGTTGAGAAAGGAACAGAGTCTAAAAGGAGTTGATCAACAAATCGGCATTTCAACCCAGATTTACAAGACAAACGCAAATGCAACTACCAGAAAAGAGTTTTTCCTCACTGACATTGAACAATTAACTAAAGGGTATCAACATCTCGTCAAAGCTTTGAAATCAACGCGGTTGGAATTGGCTTTGCTACTACTGCAGTTTCTTTGACATCACTATCTTTGACATCCAAGTCGCACGCGGTACTAGGTGGTACGTCTACCGCAGGAGAGCAGTTAAAAAACCCGTGAGGCTGCAACCACAAGCATCAATATCACTACTATCAAACTCAAAAGAATACATTTGATGATTATGCCGAGTCACCCTAATATCCGGAGTTGAGCTGGGAGAGACTAATGAAATTGTCATCGGTATATCCAAACCATATTTTTTGAACTTCCATAATTGCAAAAAATTAATATGATCAACTTATAAGGGAAAACTTATTGGTTTCAAAGGCCCTAATACAAGGGTTGGATGATAGCACTTCACGGTAGAATCACTCATATTCATTCACTATTTTGACAGTAAGACAGTGACTAGTTAAACAAAATGGTTGTGTGTGTGTGTGTGTGTGTGTGTGTGTGTGTGTGTCCATGCTTGTTAGATAATGGGTAATACTTCTAATCATGATTTTGAGAGAATTTCATAGTACTGATTGAAGTCTCATTACCAATTTAAAAAGGTTGACCAACTAATTGTGTTCAAAATCTTTGCCTTTACGACCCATGGAAACAATCAAGGTGTTATATGCCTAGATATTCAATAGTTTTTTCCAAACCCAAAAAATCAGTTTAACTGTTCCCGAAAGGCATCCAAAAAATATTAGAATTCCATTTATTCCTAGGAATAACTATCGCTCAAACTTTTTTCATTTGTTATAGAAAAAGAAGGAATGGTCAGAAACAGGGTTATTGGAAAAAGGTTGACATGGGGAGTGTAATTTGGTATATGCATGTTTCGGCAGTTGAAAAGTGAACTTCTTGCTGTTATTTTCAAGACCAATTGTGAGAAACCAAAGAAAACATTTGATGCACTGCATTGATATAATAGGTGTGTCTTCTAAATAAGGACCATGTGTGCTTCATTTACATACCTGAAGCATAAAACCGATGCGCTCCACTGGCATAACAGGCCAATCTTCCAGTCGAGGAACATGTGTGATTCCAAATACATACCTGAAATTAATGAAACGAGTCATAGCAGGCAAAATAATCCAAAAGATCTGATAACTTCCATTGATTACTAAGGGCAAAAAAAAAAAATCTAAGCACAAAAATCTAGCAAATATGAACAAGACAAGACATCTCAATTACAGTTGCAGGGACTAGCATCAGAAAAAATGCAAATATTGGTGATTTTTTTCTTCTTTACAAAGTGCCTAAGACGATACCATTAAGTGCTTTAGAAAAACAATTTTTAAACAAACCCTTGACGAAAACATTGAAAACGACTAAAACTAACCAAAGAACAATATCAGTTTCTTCCAGAGACCGGTTTTGCTTAACCCATGTTGCCAACCCCTCACCAACACGTGGATTCTGATTAGGAAATTCTCCTCCAGGAAAATTCTCATAACGTGCATATGGTGTAACCCAAAGATTGTGTTTTAAGAAAGCAGCTCTTCTCAAAAACTTAGCCTCAGAACCAGCTAATGGCAGACAGGTCGAACCAGGTACCAACTTGTAACCTGTCAGCTGTCCAGTCCTATTGACAGTTCTGGTGTTTCTTACCTGGAGAACAAAATTGGAATCATCAATCAACAGTAAGTTGGTACTCAATAATTGAGAAGATAAGATTTCTTTGCATGAGATCTTTAGATTTAAATCCAAAATAACATAATGGCATAACTACCAAACTTCAGTTACACATAACGTAATAGTTTTGAAGTCCAAAACTTAAGTTTCACATTTATTATTATTATTATTATTTTGGCAAAATACAAACAACTAACACTATAAACGAAGCACCAACTACAAGTTACACACTAAATTATAAGCACCGCAATATCATAAACATAATGATCCTCCGTATGAACAATTTAAAAAGAAAAAAGGAAGACATAACTAGTACAATAGCCTTCTGATTATTTTGTTGACGATGACCTTGCCAAGTACATCTGAGGAAGGTGAAGCTACTGATAAAATGAGAAGAGTAGCTACTAACAAAGTTGTTGTAAAGTTGCCCAAGTTATAATGATGATGAAAGCGCATTTATGATGAAGAACATCATATCTTTTAAATAAAGTTAAACAAATCAATTGAGAGACTGAAATTAAAATCCCCAAAGGATAAACCAAAACAAATTACAAATCCTCAAAATCAATTAAATTAATGGAAACATGTTATATAACACGAGAGAAGATTTCCCAAATAAATGAAGATGAAAGGAGAACTCTTGATTTATAGGGAATAGAACCACAGGAGAAAAAGGACTTCCTTTTACTTCTACTCTATCAAATGAACATCCCTTTTTTAATTGATCACTTCTTTCCATTTGCAAATGCAAAAGAAGAACAAACACCATTTTGGGAATAACAAAGAAAAAGTGTCCCTCTAATTGGTCCTCTGGTAATTTAAACTTTTCCTTTAAGCTGGTTTAACATAGCAGAGATGTAAGAAATGAAGTCAGTGTGAGAATATGGCCCCAGATTAGAAGTGGGGAAAAAAATACTCAAAATTTTGATAGCACAATAAATGAGAGGCGAGAACTTACAATAAAGAAGCCTGAATCAAAATTAAAGCACCCAAAACTAGATAAAGAGAATAAAATATATCTCAAAGAAAGACAGCTCAGAGAATAAAATTCGTAAATCCTACATGCAATAGTGACAAAATAAACTAGATTGAACCCATTTCAAAAAAAAAAAAAAAAGGATCAGGAAAGGATTCTTACAATCCAATGGCGAGCGGACAAAGGATTACAATCACGCATCGCTTGTAGTTCGGACCTAAGCAATGTCTCTTCGGCATAGAATGCATTATTGTGAACATTATTCTTTCCCGGTTCTTCAACTTTAACATCAACCTCAACAACCTACAAAAATGAAACATTACCAAGACAAAAATAAAAAATAAAACAATAAGACAACAAGGATACAGCCATCACTGCATGTTAACTCTATATACTGCTTTTGTCAACTCAAGATGTAGAAATGCATAATCAAGATTCCAGAAAAATGTAGAATGTTGTATTCACAATTGCCTAAAGGCAACCAGGTAAAAAACCATCAATCATCAAAATGAAAGGTAGCGGAATCAAAACCATGCCTTTTTTCTAGAAAGCACGTGTCAAGTAACTACTTGGCAAGCTTATAAAGTATAATTTATCATGTGCTAATTTTTTGTTGAATGAACCACTGTGAGCCTGAGGTATCATGAGACGTATTACAAGGCCTTTACACCACTCTTGCTGTATCTGGAGTATTCTGTGTATTATATGCTTTTCATGATCTATCAAGTGTAGAATTGTTTTGGCCTTCCCTTTTATCTCATTATGAAAACTTTGAAACTATCATGAACCACATTTGGAATATGATATCTCAAGTTTCAACTGCTTTATGTCCCTCAATTTACCAAACCCAAGAACTTCTCTGCATCTTTTACTCTGATAATCTTGCACTCTTAATACATATTTGTACTAATCATGATCACACACACATAGCATTTGTACAACTATCTAATTCAGAACATACTGTGGCTTATTGCTGAGGGATAGCATAAAACATTAATTTTCTCCCTACATTACAACAAATATTGAAGATTCCCTAAAATAAGGAAAAGAGACCACCTTAAACAAAGCTATAAGTGCCCACAAGCTTATTTCCATCCCATTAAACATTTAAGACTAAGAAATACCAGGCATCCAAGCAATCGAAAATTCATGTTTTGGGTTTGGCGACCCTTCCTACTATCTCTGGAAATTTAAGGAGCGAGAGGTTCATTCCCTGTGAAGCCAATTACGATTTGAATTACTTGAATCACTGTCATCGGGGTGATTCTTAACATTTCACATAGATTAGGTTGTCAATGAATTAAGGAGATACCCTTCCTGGTCCATTTTCCCAAAATAACTTTATTTCAGTAGCAGATCAAGCAAGATGGGAAATTTTTTGATAAATTAAGTTCTGTTTATAAGAGTGATGTATCTTATTTAAATTGAATTCAGAATGGGAGTATCAAATATTAACTTATGACACCCTATATTACCCAAGCTCTGGTTTGGATATTGGGTACAGGCACCCATGAAGACCTAATCGAGGACACTGAGGCCGGGTTGTAGTTGGTTAGAAATCAGAACCGGGTACATAGACAAGTAGTACTTCACCCACAAACATGTTGCAACCTTATATGACATCATAGCAAGAAATTTAATTCCCTTGTGAAGGTATTTTTAAATAACATTATACATGATGAAGGATATATAAATATATATATATTGATAAGTCATAATGAAGAATATATTTATAAATGAAAAATAAAATTGGGGATAAATATAAAAGAATAAAATTTTCAATAATAAAAAAATATATATATAATAGAGATTAGTCCAAAAACAAAATAACTTGAAAAGAAATACAAAAATTCAGAAGACTATATTATACGAAACGTCTACGTGTAAATCATGGATCACTTTCCTTTTCTTGGAGCCAAAAGCATCTAAAAACAAAAGGTATAGAAAAACCCAGAATTGCAATCCATGCCCTGCTCCTATCTAGAATTGCTTCTATCAAAGCTTAGCTTGCTTGTAATAATTTAGGGGTGGCAATTTGTGCTGACGGGTCAAAATCGTGTCATGTCGACCTATGAGTATTCTGCTAAACAGGTCGATCCAAACACTGACCTTTTTAATAATCGTGTCTGGAACACTCGACACAAACACGGCATGTTTATTAAACGGGTAACACAACAAGACCCATGTAACCCATTTAATAAACAGCCATGTAAGGACACGACTCGTTTAATGACCTATTTAACCTATTTAACTTAAATGTGTCAAGTAACCCATTTATTAACTAAAGTATAAAATGCAAATCTAAAGAAAAATTTGAGATAACTTGCGACTAAATTCATGAAAATGAAAATAATTGGGACAACAAAATTACCAAAAAAAAAGGCCAAATACAATATTCAATTATTCATATTGATTTATATTAAACTAATAAAAATGTCCGTAGTAATTGGGTTAAAACAGGTTACGCGTTAATCGAGTTGACCTGACATGATTATAACACAATTAATTAAATGGGCCAAAAGCGTCTAAAATAACAAAAGGTCTAGAAAAACTCCAGAATTGCAATCCACATCCTGCTCCTATCTAGAATTGCTTCTATCAAAGCTTAGCTTGCTCGTAATAACTTAGGGGTGGCAATTTGTGTTGACGGGTCAAAATCGTATCATGTCGACGTACGAGTATTCTACTAAACAGGTAGATCCGAACACTGACCTGTTTAATAATTGTGTCAAAAACACTCAACACAGACACGATGTGTTTATTAAACGGGTAACACAACAAGACCCGTGTAACCCGTTTAATAAACGGCCATGTAATGACACGACTCATTTAATGACCTGTTTAACCCATTTATTAACTTTAAGTATAAAATGCAAATCTAAAGAAAAAATTGAGACGTGCGACTAAATTCATGAAAATGTCCGTAGTAATTGGGTTAAAACAGGTTATGAGTTAATTGGGTTGGCCTGACATGATTATAACATAATTAATTAAATGGGTCTAAACAGGGTAAGCTCTAAAACATGAACACAACATGATTTTTTTTTGTTCCATGAATGGGTTTGATTCATTAAAAAAATAAATAATAAGTTACAAAAATAGGTGAAGGAATACCCTTCACAAATAAAACAAGGAAATGAGAAAGCCCATTTCCAATACATAGCCAAAGCAAAATAAAAGACATGATTAATTAAACGGATTGACATAACTTCGATACGAACACAATTAAGGTCAACCCAAACCCGCTAACTTCATGTCGTGTTCGACGCGTGTTAGCGGGTCGTGTCAAATTTTGCCACCCCTACTTGTATACTTAGACAACTAAAACCTAATTTGAAGAGATCCAGTAAGTGATGTCTTTCATGTGTCAAAAGTGACTGGAGCACCAATGCTGGATGGGTCTTTATTGTTTGGTAGGGAGTGGTACATGCAGTGAATACTCATATGGTTAGTTTAGTAAACTTTTGGACTTCCTGTATTCCTAATTTGTGGTGCTTTCCACTCCCAGCTTACCATAAGTGAAACAAATTCTCTGTTTTGAGTCACTGGTGTAAAGAAAAACACCATGCTCCCCCACCTGGATATATACCATATTATGTTCACGATTTCCAAAAATGCTGGATCTCCAAAAAAAAATATTCAGTTCACAGAAGCACTTCATTTCCTATGCAATTTGTTATCCTTTGCACAACTAGTAATACCACACCCAGCAGTCTCACCATTGGCTAAGTAACCTTCTTTTAACTAATTAAGAAATATCTTAATACTTCCTCACAAGCCCATGAATCTCCAATGTTCCTTCTTGAGCATCTGTGAACAGTTTCACCATTTGCAGACTCAACCCAATTTTAACTTTTTCAGGACCTCCCTGGTATTCCCTATGAACAATGTTGCATAATACACACACCCACTATATCCCACTGGGGACTCGAACCCTCAACCTTCTATACGGATAATGGAAGGTTCACTCATACGATATCATTAGTTTCTGCATAGTTTAGATATCCTGTTCAGACGAATTTATAACAAAATTCCAAATCAAATGAATCTATTTTTTATAGAAAATAAATCAAATAACAGATAGTGCATAGGCACATGGATTAAATGCCCCTACAAGACAATATGCTTGATGTCACTACATAGGCTTATAGGGAGCTATTGTAAAAAATTATGTAATTCATATCTTAGTCTTCAAAAATATATAACGCAAGTTATGAGATATGTTAATTCTTAAACCTTAACAATTCGAGAAAATTTTACACCAAAATATTATTTCGATAAACCACCATCACCATGTATTATTTGTTCCCATATATTTGACATGCGATGCCAGCGTCTCATTTTAGAAAATATCCTTAGTAGTGGACAAATACAAAACAGAAAGTTAACCAATATAACAGGTCACAAAAATTTGTTGCAGTATACCTGATTATATGCTTCTCCAGGCTTACAATCAACGGCCATATCCATACGAGCAACAAAGAAATGCTGATGAACTGGTGCATATAATCCTGGTGCAATGGTTGTTCCATACTTTCGAGATTCTCCAGGTTGCAGTGCTCCTAAGCTTAGGATTCCAGTAAGTTTAACTTCAGCTTCAATTTTGCCATCCTGTACACACAAATAATGTCCAGATCATCGCAAGTTCCAAACGAAGTCGAGTCAACAAGGCTGACTAGCAGTCTACAACTGTGCCAAGAGGAATAATGAAGGGTACGGGTTCATATAGCTAATAAATCACAAGCCAGAATAATGAAGGGAACAGGTTCAGGGCTAACGCCTCATTATCGAACAGATGTAAAGAGCTCATACAGTGAAGTACATTGTGTAAAAACAGCCTAATTTTGCTTAAAAGCTGGCAATTTGTGATGATTAATATCACGTGAGAAATAATTTTCCTTCCAAAGGAATTCTCTCAATTCAGAAGTACTAGTGATGTAGGACTTCAAGAGCAGCCTTACACGGCTAAAACGTACAGAATTCGGTGGCTGAAAGTTTGATGTTTAAAGGAAGACGAGTAGAATTTACAATCAGAGAGAAAGGAAATGTGGTACGAGTAGCCTATTGGAGTCACACCAGCAGGTCTAGGAATCACACCTAGAGAAGGTCTGACACCCTCGTAACTTTTGAATCACTCATAAGAAAATTTCATAAGTTATTTGATCATTCATTCATTCACTTCTTCAACCAAGATTAAATACCCATCCCTTTATAGGATTTCCACTCATGCCTTCTAGACTTACATGGGGGTTAACTCATGACGTTTGGACTTACCTCATAATTGAGGTAATCATAAGACTCACAAATCTTCAACTTCTTAACTCATTACTTTATCACATAAATACTAAACTCATAATTGCTCAAAGTGAGGTCAAAGCACTGCTGCCATCTAAACTTGATACAACACTCTCCGTTGTTCATGCTAAGCAGAAGGTGAAGAACTGCAATAATGGTTGTGATAGGTAGTTGCACATGCATTACTTACATTCTTCATCACAGGCAAGCAAGAGTGTCTTCTTCCACTGCAGACAGGTGGTCCTATGCTGATAGCATTGGGAAAGTTCGGCATCAGCATGGACCTCAAGCTTTTGAAGAAGTAAAGAAGAATATGACTAATGACTCTAGTTTCATAATTGTTCGAAGTAGCATGTGATGCTTTACATGTTGAAATTGAAAGCATTCTTAGTCAAGGAGGACACCCAGTTGCATATTCGAGTGCGAAACTTAATGACGCAAAGCTAAATTATTCCACTTATGACAGAATTTTATGCTGTGATTCAAGCACTTTGCTACTGGCATCATTATCTTCTTTTCAAGGAATTTATGTTGTACTATGGCCACAGGGCCCTCAAATATATTAACTTCCAAAAGAAGTTAAGGCACCAACATAGGAATTGGGTTTCATTCTTGCAAGAGTAATCATTTGCCATCAAGCATAAAACTGATGTTGAGAATAAGTCAGTCAGTGCCTTTAGCAGTCATTCATAGTCTTTCTTCCATAGTTGTCCAAATTCCTGGTTTCTTCTATGCCTTCCTTATTTTTTCTTTTGTGGCTGCTTGCCTTTCTTCTTTGCTTTAGCTCTGTATTTCAACGGTATGCCCTCGTTCTTCTCTTGTATAATATGTTTCATATTAATAGACATTTCCATTTTTCCGAGGAAAAATTTCTTGGTTCCAATATGCTTAAAAGATATTACTATCTTGCACGGATTTTAGCATTACACTTCATGATTTGATGGCTGGACAGCTAGGTAAATATCTTGATTATTTGTTGCATGTAGTTATCTCTAGAAGGGAACTCAACTTTGTTTACCTAACAAATCTCTTCGTGAGCATGTGATATGGGAGTTGCATGCTAGTGGGGCAGCAGGTCATTTTAGAAGAGATAAGACTATTGCAAAAATGGAAGATCTCTTTTATTTGCCAAGTTTGAAATGTGACGTGGCTAAAATTGTTGCCCAATGCAGAACTTGTCAAATATCTAAGGGACGAAAGAAGAATACAAGTTTATATACGCTGCTTCATCCATCATTAGCCGTGGCAAGACCTAAGCATGGACTTTGTTCATGGGTTGCCTAACACCATTGTTTCTGATTAACATGTGAAGTTTATGAGTTATTTTATGCACGCATTGTGGAAGTTTCTGAATACAAGGCCAAAGTTTTCTTATTCTTTCCACCCACAGATGACAGACCAATGGCCAAATCGAGATTATTAATTGCAGCTTGGGTGACTAGCTTTGTTGATGTTACTAGTTAAGACCAGATTCTTCCTATGGCTGAATTGCATACGACAGCTCCATAAACAAGACCCCTGGTGCAGGCTCGCAGCCCCTCTGAGAGCCAACTGATTTGGTTCCTTTAACAATTGAGGAACACCCTAGTGCTAAAGCTGATGCTTTTAGTAAGCATTTTTGTGATATTCATGCTGAATTTCAGCAGAAGATTGCAATAAGAAATGAGAGCTACAAAGCACAAACTAATTTGCAGAGGGAGTTTGTTGAAACTTGAATTTAAAGAAGGAGACATGGTAATGCTGCAAATCAGACCTGAACGCTGTGCTGAAGGTGCTTAAAAGAAAACTTTACTTAAAGAGTGCTTCCACATACAAAGTCCTTGAGAAAATTAGCTCCAATGCTTATGTACTTGACCTAAAAGAAGAGATGAGTATGACTAAAGTCTTCAACATCGAAGATCTCAAACTACATTTGAGCCATGTCGTCCATTTCTTGGTTACCCTATTTCTCAACTTCCACTAGCCCCACATTTAAAGGATGAAATAGAAGATATCGTTTATCACCAACTTGTCTCAACAAGAGGAGTTTGATATCAAAAGTTCCTTGTTAAATAGAGGCGATGTACACATTTTGATTGTACTTGGATTACCGACAGTGAGTTCCAACACCTAGCTTCTAACTTTTATGAGAAATTTAATGCCTTTACCTCATCAGGGTGACAGGGTCAAGTTTTTCCAAACCATAAAGGATTGATGGAGATCAGAGGAAGCAGCCTTTAAAGGAGTATAAAAGACGTGGAAAGGAGGGTTCTAAGGCTCAAGCCTTAATTTGGCATATCTAGATGATGTGGGGACCACTTGGAGTCTTGAATAATTAAAATTTTGGGCAAGTTGCATCATTAATTAGCTTAGTGGGCATTATGATGCAATCAAGTTGGTTTGAATTGCTTTTATTTATGTTATAAAGTCATTAGTTAATAATTTGAAGAGTTGTATGTCTAATTGATTACCTCAATTATGAAGTAAATCCAAAAATCTATAAGTTAACAAGTCTAAAAGGCATGAGTGGAAATCCTATTAAGGGAAGAGGTGTAATCTTGGTTGAAGGAGAGAATGAATGACTAATAAAATATTCTTACGAAATTTCCTTGTGAATGATTCACAAATTATGAGGGTGTGAGACATTCTCTAGGTGTGATCCCCAAACCCATTGGTGTGACTCCAATAGGCTGCTCTTATTCCATCTCTTTTCTCCTCATTTTTCTACATCTCAACTACCAAACCTCAAACTCCAGCTCTGATTATTTGAATTTTCAGTCGCTGCACTTTTAATTTTTAGCTCTTTGTGGCTACTCCTAAAATCCTACTACCTCTGTTTTCCATTCTTTTTTTATTATTATTAGAAGAAGGAAGGAGAGAAGGGGGGGGGGGGGGGAGGGGGGAGAGAGGAATGGTTATGTTACATGTGGGATAAAAGCATTGCAAGTGGCTTTGAATCAGTGCAAAAACAGAGGTGTCTAACAGGAATGGCAGTCAAACAACTAATTACCTTTGATTTATGGTAGTAATTAATAGCATTAAAATGCTACTGAACAAATACAATAGCATCAGCAAACCAAGTATTCCATATGATGAATGCATTCAACTTGCCTGATAGAAGTACCAGTAGAATCCATACTCATAATTAGCCACAGTACATATAAATGAAACTGTTAGCCGTCTAGACCTTCGAACTTCAGCCAAGCCAGTTCTCCAGTCTTGGTGCTTCCACAGGATTCCATGATCCTCTTCGTGCAAACAAACACAATTCTCAGTAGTTTCGACACCCCCGGTGTAATTCGTAAAATGGGCATCAAAGTACTTGATATATCCTAAACAATCACATCCCTGTTGTAGGAGTTTTAATTATTAAGAATTAAAAATTTAGTTCCAATCTAGAGTAATTCGTAAGATTTGTTAAGGGGGAAAAAAATTGATGATAAAAAGATGCAGTTAAAAATACAAACCTTCTTAAGAGAATGTGCATTTTTCCCTAGGCCATCTTCACCTGCATCAAATGCATTCTTCCTGTAATGTGGTTCATCTGGATCTCCATAAGGCACAACCATCTCCACAAAACTCAGCCTATGGGCTACAGGTCTTCGACCCCGATTACCATCTATGTACGCAACAGAATGTATAACCAAACCCTCCCTAGGAGTGAAACCAATACGAAAATTCCACTGCCAAACAACAGCATTGTTCAATATGCAGTTATGAGTGCAAATCTAAATTAATAAGTCAGTTCAGCAGCATAAGTACCTTCTGCCACTCCACATAATTCCCACTAACACGAAAGCTTGGTCCCTCTGGCTGAAGAATTTGTAGGGGCTTTACATCACTCCGATCAACCCCACCTCTCGTTTCTCCGGGAGTATAGTTCCTCAATGGATCAGCCGGAGGTAAGGGAACCAGTTTACGATCTTCAAACTCGATCACCGTCATATTTTGCATGTCAACAAGCACATAAATGCCTTCAACTGGGCGTGCATAGCCATTTTCCATCGGACAGTCACTTTCTGTTCTACAGAATATAAGTGGTTTGGCAAGCCTGTGGCTAGGAGCATCAGCATCACTGTGATAACCAACACACCTGTGGAAAATGCATGCAGGCCAAATCAGCAACACTATTTCTTTTTTTTTTTTTGATAAGTAATAATAAATTTAAAAAGGCGTTCAATAGGGGAGAGATTCTACTAACCAGGCATCAACCATGACAAGATCCATATCCTCAATACCCCTCTTCTTCATTGCCTCCCTAAACGGAGGATAATCTTTCACAACAGCTTCACATTCAGCATATTCCACAGCATCCTGCAATTGCAAAAAAAAATATTTAAATAAAGATAACAAAAGTATATTTTACTGACAAGAACAACAAGAATACTTCAATCCTAGCTGCCTAAATTAGAAAGAGCACTTAAATGGCAACTTTTACTTCAAACTAAGGGTGACAATTTCTGACCAAACCATAAGGTTAAATCAAACCTAAACAAATTTGCCTAAGGTTGGTTTAGGGCAGAAAAACCCCAAAATCCTCCACATGGAGATTATAGTGACAGAGACATTGACTTTGTAACTTTAAACTTCTATACTTCTATACTTCTATGTTCTTTATATAATTTCATATAGGCAAACTATAAAAGAATTAAAAAAAAAAAAAAAAAAAGTTATTTTATAGACGAACTTTAACACAATAGATATATAGATAGTTTAGATAAGGTAATGATATGTATTAAGAAGCATCAAAAGAGGTTTAATCCAGAGAGTTCCATGATTGGGAGCTTATGGAGGTTTCAGACTGACTTGCCTTGATTTACAGCAAGGTGGTGGAGGGTGTGGGTGTGGATATGAGGGGGTGGGAGGGATCCTTGAGAGGGGAGTTTGAGGTTAGATCCTTTTATCAAAGTCTTATGGAGATCCCCGGCCCCTCTTTCCCTTGGAGAGCTGTTTGGAAGATGAAAGAGTTTTTTTGCATGGTCTGCTGTCCTTGGAAGTATCCTCACTCTCGACAACCTCAGAAGGAGATATCAAGTTGTGGTGAACTGGTGTTGCATGTGTAAGAGGTCGGAAGAACCTGTGAATCACCTTTTGTTTCACTGCCCTGCGGCGAGGGATATTTGGGCTATGTTCTAGGTTGCTTTTGGGCTTGGGTATTTCCTGAGTCAACAGTTGAGTTTTTCGAGGCTTGGAAAGAGTGTATAGTGGAGAGCCGAGTCAGAGATGCCTGGAGGGCCACTCCCCTTTGTATTTGGTGGGGCTTCTACGCGAGAGAAATAGGAGATCCTTTGAAGGGAAGGAGTCTCCTATTTGGTCTCTCAAAGACAATATACTGTCTTCTTTGTTCTTTTGGGTTAATGGGCGAAATTGTATATCTATAGATAGTCTTTTGGATTTTGTGGATAGCTTAAAGTTGTAGTGTCGCTGTTGCGCGTCTTGTTGTTCCTTTGGGAGCACTCCCCTTTTGATTGCCTTTAATGAAATTTTACTTATAAAAAAAAAATGAGGTTTAATCCATGTAGATATATAAAAAAGAAAAACAAAACTTTACAACTTTAAAAGAATAAAAGTACTAAATTTATACTAATTAAAATAAATTTAATTTATCCACAAAGTTTAAAAAGGTCTCATGCGAGGGGTGTATCCTCCCTCTCACCCAACAGAAAAGTAAAATAAAATAAAAAGGAACTCTTTAATTTGCAAATTGGTTATTCCAAACCTTCAAACAATCGACGTCCAAATATCCCACACAAAGCAAAATAGAGCCATATTACAATTCTTCTGTCTTCTATTCTTGTTTTTACCTCCTCTCCATCTAGCAAGTAAATCAAACAGTCCAAACAGAGCCACATTCCAAGTCTTCTATTTGCTCCTCTTGTTTTACCTCCTCTCCATCTAGCAAGTAAATCAAATAGTCCAAGGAATACCAAAGTCATCTCAGGAAAAGCATTGTAACAAATGTCAAATCCTTTAGAAAAAGACATGGTCCATTCTCTCTGTTGCGGATTTATACATACAAAACCAGTTAAGAATGAGTTGGCAACTTCAAAGCAAATTATCTAGCATGAAATCTTTCCATCATTCTCCATCCAGCCAATGCAACCTCGGAATGATCTTTAAAGCCCAAACTCCCTTCCAATGAAACAAGTCCAAGAGGAGCCAGATTACAACAAATAAAATAATTTTAAACTAAAATTACCATATCTAGAAGCTTCAGACATCTCCCATTATATTTCCAAATCCAGATTAAACAATACAGCCAACAGCTCCAACTCCAAATCTATTTCCCAATCAGGAACTGCTCTATTAGAAGTAGTGTTCCATGACACCACATTGGAAATATAGATAATACTTTAACTATGAGTGGGCTAAATGAATCCTTCGCCATTCAGCTCTATATAAGGCCATAACTTCAGATAAACCACATGGTATCGTATCTTTCCTATCTCATCAACACATGTTAGTTTTGATCTTCCCCCTCTCCTAGCATTCCCTCACTAAGACCCACGTCATTTTTCCTACCTAGTGCAGTTTTCGCCGCACTTCATATGGCCTAGCCATCTTGTTTTTCCTATCATGAGAGGAGTTCTCCCATTTTGTCTTCAGTTGGTGCTACTTCAACCATCTTACTTACGGATGTATATTTTTTTATTTTGCCAAATATTCATCTCAAAATTAACAATTTAATAATCAATAAATAAAAACTATAAAACATTAAAGGCAATTACTTAATACTAGCCCCACCTGCGCAGGGTGCTAGAAGGAAAGACTCGAGTAAGAATTGAACTTTAGAATTATTTTGCATAAAAGAGCTGCTCCTAGACTCAAACCTGTATCTTCAGGATTGTCACACCGAGCTTCTATCATTGCACCAAAAAAAGCCCCAGAAATTATAAAACATAAACAATAAAATTCCTCACTGTCCTTTTTTTTTTGACAGGTCGTCACTGTCCCATTTTTAGGGTTTCTAATCCTTTCATTACATCTTATCAAAGGGTTAGCTGACCCATAAATTCGTGGACTCAGTTGATGCTGGTGCAGCCAATAAAAAGTGGGTAGAATATGGGGCATAGATGCAGTTCATCTTAAACTTAACCAAACACAAGCAACAAAAATAATCCCCTTGATAAAATCTAGGAGTGGCAATTCGTGTTCATGGGTCGTGTTTGTGTCGTGTCGATGTAAGGGTATTATACTAAATAGGTAAACCCAAGCCAAACCCATTTAATAATCGTGTTAAGAATCCTCAACACTAACCCAATCCACTTATTAAACAGGTAAACGTGTTACCCGTTTAATGACCTGTTTATCAAAACGAGACATTTAATATTTAATCAAATACTAAATAATAGAAAAAAATTGTCATAATTAACCCAAATATTCAAAATAAAAAGAAAAATCATAAGGCATAGACAAGGTTTATGTTGAAATGACTTAACTATCCATAATAATTGGGTTTACACAAGTAAAATATTACATAGGTCATATTCACGATTATAACATGTTGAGTTAAAGGGGTCATAAATGGGTTACATGGGTTGAACCCCTCAACCCTAACCTGACACGGTTAATCGTGTCAACTCTTTTATGACCCAAACCCGTTTATGTCAAACCCAAACCCTTTTAACTCATGTCGTGTTCGTGTTCGTGTTGTCGTGTCGTAATTTGCCACCCCTAATAAAATCATCATTCCTCACCATTGACCAACTATGCTAGAGTATTTTCCTAGCAGGGCATTATAACAAAGAACAAAAAACAAAACAAAATATATATATATGTATGGTGGCACTGTTCAACCCAACTTCTTGTGCTCTTAATGCACAAATGTAAGGTGCTCCAAATGATTTATCATATTAACCTAAAAGACAACATTCAAGTGAAATAATGATCAGAAGTTCCACACCAGAATCAAATGAATGGAAAAATGAAATACTATCAAGAAAAATTAAAAGTCTTTTTGCTTATTTATAAATGCAAAAGTCCAATTAACACAAACAAAGTCAAATACTGATCTTCATCAAATTTAACTAGCTCAAGCATTTAACCCTATTGGAAGATGCCACCAAGCACCAACAGTATCAACTGAGAAATTAAGAACTAACCATGGGAGGCTGAACATCTTGAATAACATGTGATGAAATGACTTTTCCCTTGTGATGTCCACCTCTAGTTGTCGCATGTACTTCAGTCAGCTCAACAATCCATACACTTGTCTCATTTGAATTTTTATTGTAAACGACGAGTCTAGCTCGTCTTGGAGGGAGCTTACTAGGAATTATAGCTCCACCTTTGGTTCTTGGCACTAATGATGGTTGGAAAGGGGGAAAAAAATATGCATCTGCCAATGCAACAACATGTTTTTCTGGTTCCAATAGGACCACTTCAACAAATCGCATGCTGTCTCTGACCTGAAATGTTCAAATGAAAGAAGAAAAGATCTAGATTACTTCTGCAAATGGAGACACAATCAGTCCATTACTCTCCAACAATTAGTATACAAATATGTGTTCATAAAAACAAGTCGGAGTGTAAAAGACGAACCTCAGGCGTTGCTCCAGCTGCCCTGACAGTTGCCACAGCCACTGCAATCTCTGCAGCGGATAAAGGGTCCAACGGATGGCTGGTTTGAGCCCTTTGCATGATCTGGATTCCTGCACGATAGCATCAGTTAACTAACTGAAAGAAGAAAGAATATACTTGATGAAAAAGGTCAACTACTGAAACAAAAACAATAATAACAATGGCAATGGTAACGGCAACAATAATAGTAGTAATAATAATGGAAAAGGTAAGACAACCTGCAATTTGAACTCCCATAACAAATATAAAAGCATGCCCAATACTCGGGCATACATAATATTTATTGCTTATTATTGAATTGCACACCAAGAGCATCGGAAAAGTTGTGCATGTTTACCAAGAAAATTTTATGAACGATTAAACAAGAAGCAGTTCACATATGCTTTTCGATATGAAAACAGTGAATTACACTAAGCAGGAATACATATATACAATCAAACCAATAATTGATAAAGCAGTAGTGTGAAAATATAATCATCAATGACATTTTCTGCAACACAAACAATACTTATCTAGTCATACAAGAAACATCAGAGCTTCAAGTGGCAAACACAAGAAAGATAAAATGGTTATTATATAGGGAAATCCTGAATAGCAATAAAACAACCAACGAACCCGCCACCCCAACAACCACCACCACCCAAAAAGAAGGGGAAAAAGGTATATGATTAAGGACCTAAGAAAATAAAATCCCCATTTCACACCAATCATAATCTCCATTATCAAAACTTGTACACGACTCTCACTACATTTTCAAAGTCAAATATTAAAAATTGAAGATAAATATTTGGACATCACAAAAGTAGGCCATGTAATAATCTAATAAATGAGACCTGTGATTATGACACCATAAATGAACTTCAATTTTCATTAAAAAAAATTTTTTTAATGGAATTACATATTTCAAAAAGCAAGATAATCACCACTTTCCTACTAAAGAGGAATGACAGCATCCCATGTTATTATTGGTCGCCCTCTCCTTCTCTTACCTTCTATGACAACTATGTTTACTCATTTGTTTGAAGCGTCACTAAGTCTCCAATGTATGTATCCAAACCATCTAAGTCTACTCTCCCTAATTTTCTCACCACCAACATGATAAATCATTTGCATAGAGATGTAGGTGAGGGAGAAAGAGATTTCTATACTGTTGGTTTTGTGAACAGAAAAGAGAAAAATCTGTAATGATAAAATAATAATAATAATAATTGGTGAAGCAATTACCAAGTTAAGAAAAATAAAATAGAAAATAAAAAGAAGAAGAAAAAGAATTGTTACTTTATTGAATGAAACAAGCTGTCATTATGCCATTGTTTAGGATTGTCTCCACGCACATAGAATTTAGAAAATGTAGATATGTATCACTTAGACAGCATAAGCTTCAAATATAATCCAATAGTAATGCCCATCTACGGAATTGCAAAGCAAAAAAAAAGAAAAAAAAACACACAGTTTGCACCAGTGTTTATGTTAGGAGCATTAACATTTACACTGACCAATTCTATAATATAATTCCAAGTATTTACGATTATAATTTCTATCAATCTTCAGCAGACGAAAATTTTAGAAAAATGTTCCAATTTCCAATGTGAAATCACAAGAAATAGACCGATAGAACCAAAATGGACCTAGTATATTATAATTCTCTCTTTTAATGCTCCATGAATTCTAAAATTGCAAAACCACATCTTATACATATATATACCCAATTACACTAACCAAAACGAAATTGACAGATGAAACAATACAGAGATAATAAACTCATTCATCCACATAAGGCCAACACTTGAGAAGAAATTAACAATCAGCAACTAATGAACCGAAATGAGGAAAAACAGATATCAGCATCCATCATTACGATCATCCATACGAAACCTGAAATATATATATTTATATACGCGTGTATATTTTTTTTTGCGTATATAGCGAGAAAGATAGAAGAAAGTACCTGTGGTGGCATTTGTGGAAGGTTCAGGAATAATCAAGGACGCCACGGCAGCTTTCTTGTTCTGCTTATCGGAGGACGAGGCAGTCCAATCCTGCACCACCTCCACCGCTGCCGCCGCCGACACGGCGGGGGCGGCCTCGTGACGGGCTGGAGCAGAGACGCCGTGAATGCAAAAACGATGCGACGCCTTTTGCGTAGTTGGGGCCATTGTAAGGGATTAGCGAGTTCACCAAATCCACCGTAACAGTAGTAGCGAGTACAATCTACTGACATACAGCAATCCTATTCACACCAAAGCTCGCTCTCTCTCTCTCTCTCTCTCCTGCACACCACCTCTCTCTCTCTCACTATATCTATATGTGTGTGTGTATATGTGTGTTTGTGTGTGTGTGGTACAGCCTTAAAAACCAGAGTAAGGGGTGTGTGTTTTCAGAAACTAGGGCTTCTTGTGAGTTGTGACGGACGATGTGTCTTTATATTCATGAATAAATGAAACGGATAGAGAGAGATGGGGATGTTGATTCAGAGAGAGAAAATAGAGAGACGTAAAGAGAGAAAATGGAGAGCTGGGTATTGTCTTTATAAGGTGGTACCACGTGCAATGGCCCTGCTCGCTGCTTTCTTTTTCATTTTTTTAATTATTATTTTTCCTTTTATTGGAAATTTGGAATCATATGGCATTCAAACACGTACTACATGTGTGCGTGAAGTAAAGATTCCCATTTTCAAATTGAAATGGATGAAATTTAATTTAAATTTTAGTTTATATTTTAAATTAAATTTTAGCTAATCTCAAATCAATGTTTAGTTCTTTCAAACATAGTAAACAATCCAAAAAGAAAAATAGTGAGTCACTTATAAGTTATATACCCTTAAAATGCATTAAAGTAAATAATATATTAAATAGTATAACAATAAATAATTAACCAGTAGTGATATATATGTATATAAAATGAAATAATTTTCAATTAATTCAGGCTTACAACTATTATTTATAGAAGTCAAAGTTAATTCAAATTCTATCACTAATAAAGTTGTTGTTGTTTATAATTCTTTAAAATCCAGTAAAAAAGATGAAATTATTGGTGGTTTGCAAATTTGCGATTATCAATAAAGTTATTGGATAAAACAGGATTACAAAATAGAAAGACGACAATTTTTATTTTTGCGTGTTTTTTTTGCAGGAAACATTTTGAAAAAAATAACGGGTTGCTAGAACCATAATTTTTCAGGTTGTTTTCTGCTCATTCTATCCATACTCCAAAAAAGTTTTAAAATTTTCTCTTTCCTTTTTCTTCTCGTTGATTCTATCTATCCAAACAACCTTATATATTTGGTTAACAAAATATTGTTTCATTAGTTTGAATAGCAAAGGAGAGTGAAAAGAAAATAATTTTATATATCAAAACTACCCTTACTAATTCAATATAAAGTAATATACATCGCATAAAAAAATATATATATATATATAATTGGGTTATGAATAAATATATATATATATATTGTTTTTTTTAAGTTTGCAATACGTATTAGGACTCTACTATTATTAGATTAGCTCACTTCATTTGTGGGTGTAGAGAAGACTCCTAACTTAAAGAATCATGTAAATCTAATAACATAATTCTAATCATGTAAATCTAATTCTAATATATCGACAAAGAAAGATAAGAATGAATAAACAATTAATAAAGGCATACTAGGGAATCAAAATATAATGATACAACTTTACGAAAAATTAAAAATTTTCCCATTTTTTGGAGTAAACATCTCAGGAAAAATATTGCTTTTCTAAAAATTTCCTTTTCACGCTAACTAAACTATTTAAAAAAATTTATGTATGACTTCTTATTTTTCTTGGTGCATGATGTATATTACTTAGTATTGAATTCATTAGGGTAGTTTTGGCATATAATTTTTTTTTTTTTTTTCCCCTTTTTTGCTATCCAAACTAATGAAACAACATTCTTTTCACAAATTTTTATAAAAAAATCATACTAACCAAATCCATGATAAAAACATAATTTTTTTTTTTTATTTATTTTTTCCACTTCACTTTCTTTTCCTTTCACTTTCTACCATCAATTTTCGTCTAACCAAACAAACTCGATGAAAACTTAAATCATCAACCTCCTATTATAAATGATGAAAAAATATCACTAAATTATTTTAAAACATATCACAATAGCAAATAACTTATATCTTTCACCATCTCATATAATTTTATTTTATGTTTTTATTGTAATATTGACTATTAACTATGTACCTCCTGCATTATATTTTGTACTCAAAATGTGCCAATCTCAAGGAGAGTTCATAACAAATATCGCAGAGTCCAATGTGTGTGTATACATGCATACACAACATGAATATATGTATGAAATTTGGATATATTGGAAATTTGAAAAAGTATAGTGGGCCAATAAGATAAGCAAAGGTGATAGGAACCTCTGCTTTTGCTTGTGGGACATGCATTAAGGGTCAAAAATATTATTGATATTAGCATGATAAGGCAATATGTGTTGGATATTATTGTATAAGGACTTGATTCTTCAATTATATATCAAAAAAACACAGGGCAGTGACTCATTGATTCTTCGCTTATCCAAGAGGATCATCAGAAAAATGGTGATGAAATCTACCATTATTTTTATTCATAATCTGGTTTCAACCCCAACCCCACCCTCCATACAAACTGCAAAGGGTAAAAAAAGAAAGGTAAAATATATGCAAGAGGTGTATTTTGGGGGAAAAAGAAAAAGAAAAAGTAAAATTTTTATTTTCTATTAAAAAAAATGAGGAATAAAGTAAAGGGGATGGTAAAAAAATAATAATAATTAATTTTCAAAAGAAGAAAAAGTCACTCCATGCAAATTTTTGAGTGATTCACATGTTCATTAATAAGAGAGATGAAATATCAAAATAAATGGAAGAGAAATAATGGGAAAAGGTAAATGAAATCAGCATTTCAGTAAATGATTTGGTTTAGTAAGATTATGTATTAATTTGGCATTTAAAGCTGACAAATAGTAAAATAATAATAATAAGTCAATCTACTCATTTTCAACCAAAAGAAAATGGAAAATACTTTGTAAAACAAAAACTAAACCAACTTACTAATAGAAAGGAAAGTGACTAATAAATATATTAAATATAAATATTAAACCAAATGACATTATGTGAGGTTAAGATAAATATATTTATTATGATAAAATTTTTATTGTGTTGTTAAGTAGTGGTACCAAACAAGAGAGTAAATGTATGAAGTTAAAGAATGATGTTAGGACGATATTGAATATATCTAATTTCTTGATCATTTATTATTATTCTTATTTTATTATTATAAATAGAATAATGAAACAAGAGTTGTGGAGGATATGAGGACACGACTCTTCTTGTGAGGTACAGAATAATTTAATTAGTTTGGATATAAATAAATAAATAAATAAAATACCCAACATGCATAACAAAGACACATCTACTGCCTTTCCATGTCAATCAAATATTCTATTCCCAATAGTATAATTGCTTTATGGGTATAATCCAACTCAGCTACCTTGTTTCAACTTGACTAGTTTAAGGTAAAATTGAACACAAGTGGGCCCCAATTGTGTGATTAATGTAATGAACTATACACCTTGTATGGCAAATGGAAAATTAATTATGGCCACTTGCAAGTAGCATCCAAAGGACAAGAGGTAGTACTTAATTTTTCAAGCCCAAATACATCCCCATCATCAAAGCTGCACCACACAATAATGGAGCTTCTTTCCCATACTAAGGGTACACTTACCATAATGTCTTTCACATGATATGCACTTGTCACTTGTTAGGTGGAGACGATTTCATTCCACCAAACTTTTGATCTTACAGATTCAATTTGTGTTCAAATTCTTCGAAACAATAATTCAAATTTTAGTACAAGGAATATGGAGTTTCCCATTAGAATTCACATGAGGCATTCATTGTGAAACATGGTGAGTCTTTTTTCTTTTGTTGAACATTTGTTTCACTAAGATTTTTTACATGGAAAATCAATCTCTCTTTTAATTCTCAACATATCTGCAAAATTTTGTAATTAAATTATTAATTCCTAGAAAAACAAACAATGGCACTTCAAAAAATTATTATATAACATATACATGAGAGTATACTATTTTTGTTGAGCTACAATGTTTTCAATACCGAAGAAGATTGAAACCAAATTTTTAAAAGACGTACAGGTCGGACGACTGGTGTCGAAGATTATTCTACGAAGAAATGGGGTTCGATTGTGTTGAATTGTTAGTAGATGGATTGACCGAAGGACAGACTGGGGATCTTCTGAGTGTGAATATTTGGTATTGTAAAAACCCCATTTTGTCCTGTCACTTTCGGTATATATTTAGAAATATTTGACTTTTAAATATTAAATAGTATAGCTAGGCAAACAACATGCCATAGCGATGTTCCTTAAGCTCCTACAATCTCTGAATTTCAAGGAAAGCAATTCACACCTGACATTTTCGAAAATCTGACTTTTACAAAGGAAAAGGAGCTTTGAATCCATTCGAATGTATGCAGCATGCTTATTCCTTTATTTCCATTAAAAAGTAGATTCATGTTGAAAAGCAAAGCTTGAAGATGAGTAGCCTTTTAGATTTAGAATTAGGGTTCCAAATGGAGGTTGTTTAGTCAGCAAATAAAGAAAATTTCAACTACCATAGGTAATTCCACACATATGTTAAAAAAATTCGCAAACAATAAGTGACTCAGGCATGCATGTCATTGGCATGTTCACCAAATCATAATACTTCATTTAATAAAATGGGTATTACTCAAATAAAAAAATTTCCTCAACTAACTTAAATGGTATAATGTGGCATGACTTGAATGAAACAGGTCATTACAAAATCAGCAAAGTAATAAATAAGGAAATCAGATATGGTGACTGAATTTATTTTATTAAAAAAAGTTATTATCGATTAATTGACAAATCTTATCTTTAAAGATAATTAATGAGTGAAGCACGAAGAAAGAAACAAAAAAAGATTCAAATAAGTCACAAACCGTATCATTTGTTTGCAAGCCACATGAACCATAACTAAGGTATTCAAAAGTCAAATCTCTAGACTTCTCTTAAGTTGGAGAAACATTATAAGCACTTTGTCAATGTGGTAGCTTTATGTAATTATGATCAATGTTTTACCTATCTATAAAAGTAATATTCTTTCATAGTGACTCTCTCAAAATAATAAAGATACATGGAGGTCAATTTTTTTAAACTTATCATCTCTGAATAGATATTGGATGAGCCAGACATGCATGTCATTAGCATGTCTACCAAATCAAAATACATCATTTAATGAAATAGGTACTACTCAAATAAAAAAAAATTCCTCAACTAACTTAAATGGTATATTCTAATTGGGTAGACATACCAATAACGTAGCATGACCTGAATGAAACAGGTCATTAAGTGATATATAAGTGAATCATCCAGGGTGACTGAATTTATTTCATAAAAAAAGTTATTATCCTTATTTATCATTTTTTTTATTTTGTAATTATAAATTATTTGTACATTTATGATTGTACCACATTAACGGTCAATAAAAAAAAATCCTACCCGTCGATTAGCAAACAAATCTTATCCTTAAAGATTATTAATG